GATGATGTATAATATTGGTTGTTGGCATCCGAATGACATCATCCATCATCAAAGCACATCAAGCTATTTTTATATTCTTTGAGACGTCCATCTGTGATTAGTATCTGGTAGCTTGGCATGGGTGGAATTCTTTATGATTTCTTGATATGTACCCCGTTCTTGGTCTTGGATTGGAGGATGAACACAGTTGGAGGAATCTTGGTTGCTTCATCTTGGATACAAGATTGATGGGATGCAGTTCTTTGGTATTGAAGTAGACTATCGTTTTCTTCTCCATTCTTGTTCTCGTCTTGAGCACATCAAATACTCATACAGATGCATTTTATATTATTAATTTCTGTTTTTCTCTCAAGTGCCCCTAGTTGCCCTAGATTAGTTTGATATCAAGATTGGATTTCCCTTTATACTCTAATCTCGTTACATCCAAACATCATCGTCATGAAGACTCTTTTCCTCTTACATTATAACACTTTCCAGTCGATGTCAGGGTCATCAATTCATTCATCTGACACAAATTTGTTCTAAACGTTGTGTCTAAATCATGACCTGACTCCCTTTTCATACTTAGTTTTATGCATACCTTTAAGGAGGATGCACTAACATTCATATTTAGTCTCACAAAGAATTAGAACCTACCTACTTAAATAATTGGATGTGAAGGATTTCTATAGTTGGTTGCTTTTTACTTGGAACGTTGACTTTGCAAATTCTCGCCAAGTTCTCGCCAAGTTGTTCTGTCCCCAAGCTCTTTTTCTTTATTTGGTGTCAGAAGGGCATTAGTTGATATAGTTTCACACAGAGTTAATAGTCTTCTGGCTCTCAACAGACAGTTTGTTGTGGATAAACGTTGGGCATACCTACCTCACAGTTCTTGCAGATTCATGGCACAGGACTTTGCCATTTCCTTGTCAACGTAAACATCTCCTTGATTGTAATTCAGCAAATTTGCACTTAAATTGAATCCTGATCTGTAGATTTTAGAGGAAGGAATGTCTTGGATCTGATCAGTGAAAAAAATACACGGGGGCTCAGGGCGAAATAGCCCCCGAAATGCCCAAAAGAGCCCCCGAAAATCAGAAAAGAGTCCCCATAAATTTACAGAGAGTTGAATGCAAAACAAATTTTAGAATGTTATTTTCAGGCAGGCAAGCTTGAAAAGTAGCCCCCGAAAATAAATATTAATTTTTTTCCTGGATCTGATTATATGCAGCTATGATTTGGCTAGAAGTGAATGAAAGCTGCCCCATATGTTTGTAGGGAGGTTTACAGGTTATCATCAGCAAGATTCGTTCTGATTGAAGCTGTATGCAATCATACTTTAGTTGTACCAGGGAATATTCCTGGTTGAACCTTTAGTTTTAATAATCTACATTTGAGGGATACTTTAAGGAGTTTTATCCATTGCCATGTCGTGCAGGGATGCTGTTCAAGCTATATTGAAGGTAATGTTTCTGTCTTCATCTGTTGATGTTTGGCTATCCTTTGCCCCATTTAGATGCATTTGGTTCTGGAAGCATTGACAGCTATCCAGGTGCCATGTATGCCATGTATGCCATGTTTTATTTTGGGCTAGCTACACATAGTGTAGGCACAATACATTTAATGGTTTTAGCTTAAGACATCCGAGGTGGAAGAGATTGAATGCAGGGTAATTCATGGGAATTCTGGTATGCATACAGCAACCTACAGTCTAGCAATATTCTTTCTATACCAACCCCTTGAACAATCATCTTGGTAACTTTTATTTTGGCTGCAGTAAGGAGTAGCATCCTTGGGTTTTTTGCAAACATCCAGAGACTTATATATTGCAGTATTATATCTCTGTTTACTTGAGTTTAGGCCTTGCTTATGTTCATATGTTGAAATCAGGTATTGGTGAAATATCTTCTTTGCTGTCACACATGTAGGGGCCTACCTACATGTATTGAATATTATTTATAGCTCTAGAGAAGTCATATCACCTCCATACACCATCGAAATCTTGGTATTTGCAAAAAGGATATGGCGCTGTACAAATACTTATTATTATTATTATTATTATTATCATCGCCTCGGGCACAGAAGTTTAAGGTTATAGTATTTTGTTTTGTACCCCAGAACATATTTTAAACTTTCTTTTTCAAGATTTTCTTTCTCAACTCATTCAAGTACAATATCGGTACCTTCTTTGTGGATGTTATCAAGACTGGATATTACTGGTAATTCAGAAGACTGCAGTTATTAACATTATTTGATGACAATTGTTAATTAAACTGCAAGGATGTTGTTGAAACATGGAACTGAACATGCCTTTAGAGCACGGTTGTCCTTAGACACCATCCACTTGTTACTGACCAAAGCAGCGATGGTTCTCTTCTGGTTAGAGCGCCACACCCAAAGGCGTGTCCAAACCGTCGTAATTAACCTCACACTCAAAGAACTCTTGGAGAAGTTTGAAGAGGTAAAAACAATTGAGGAGTTCACCAATACCATTGTCCTTCATGTACATTGTTTTTTTAACAAGTACTGGTTATAGATCATCAGTAAATGCTTCTTAAAAATAAAGTTAAGTTCTGGTCATGCGATTGCATTGTGAAAGAAACGGTGTGGAGTCGATCAGAAAAGGTTGATCATCTAGCATATAAGAATTTGTGTGTATTGCAAGGTTCTGGTATCATCAAAATGATAAGAAATTTGGCCAAGTCTCGGTAAAGTTACAAGCACTGTACACAGAAGGATGTATATGGGACTACACAGACATGTGGCAAAAAATCCTCTTCCCAGAACTCAACCTTCTCTTTAAATGACATGTATGGTATGATAGTACTAGTGTATTTCTACGTATCTCTCCCCTGTAAATTTCAAATATTTCAAATAGCGCCTAATGCCATTCCATGGTAGCTGTGACCATGAAAATATCAGAATATGCAGTTCTGATATATCATTTCCAAACAGGAATAAAAAAAACGGTTGATTGTAGTCTAGAAACATTGTTTTAAAGCTAACGTAATATCAGCCTTGAGAGGGAACTATACTACATAATAATGATAATAATAATAGTTCAGTTCTTGTATAGCACATAATACGTCTTGAAATAACATCTCTATGCGCTTCCAAAGAGCTTTGGAAATTATTACCCTAGCTTTAGCTCCAGCAGCCGTTATCAGCGCACAGTGCATTTCAAGGAATAATCCTGCCAGGTACCCATTTACCTCACCTGGGTTTGAGTGTGGCAAATGTAGATCAATGTCTTGCCAAAGGACATAAGTGCCACGGCGGGACTCGAACCGCAGACCTTGTGATCGACAGTCCAGTCGACCACAACACCTCTACATAAAGAGTTTAATATTTACAATTTCATCACTTTAGGCTTGATTTCAAACGCGACAACAATCATTGAATATTGTAATATTGCCTATGCTTCCAATATGTCAATTTGAACCAAATTCATGACCCCATACCAAAGCTTTGTATTACCTTTAAAAGCCTCCCCTGACTGATTGACCAAATCCAGCTCCAAGATGCCCTGTGTTTGTTTGCCCACCCAGCATACGCTTGCAAAATTTCAAGATATAAAATATAATGGTATGCTCTGAACAGTTGTGTTTTTGGTACTGAATGTTTCACTAAATGTTTCACAGGCTGTTCTGTCATATATGGCTTTCTAAAGGAATGATGGATTTAGTTTTATGGCCAAGTCTTTATAAAGGCATACCGGTAGCTTAGAAGACCATTTTGTATTTCTATTGTGAAAGATCTTAAAAGATGGTGTCGGTGTAACACAATATGGGTGTGTGTGAAAGCATTAGAGGTGATTGTGCCAATTGTTATGTTTGCGCTTGCGATATGAAAATGTATTATACTATTAATGTCATTTTTTATCACTTGACTTGAGAAAACAAAATTGTATTAACAGACAAGAATATGTATAGGTTTTGTCACAAAGCGTATGTTTTTGAGACTAAAATAACATTTTACATCAAACTTGTACTGATGCAAATTCACTCATAATTGATGAAAACAAATTGAACTCATCGCTTGATTCTGGTGACAAATGAATAAAAATGTATACCTACCTGAATTATCTAATAACCCATAGAAGGGCATTGGGTATCAGTGTCTATTTTAGATAACAAAAAAGTGATCAACTTCCAGTTTTCACTCCTTTTCAGAGAAACATTTACAACAAATTCTTAAAATACTGTTTGCATTAAAAGTAAAGACCAGTATTGGAAACGCCCCAATTTCAAAAAATGAAATGGAAGCTCTCATTACCAATCATGTGAAAGAATATGTTTTGACTAATACATGATGATTAAAAATTTGCCGGGAAACCGCCTACTAATTCATATATTTGGTAAATTTGTTTCTCTCATGGTCTGTGAGAGATATAGGGTAGTCCCATATACATCTTTCTGTGTATAGTGCTTGTAACTTTACAAAGAATGGGCCAAATTTCTTATCATTTTGATGATTCCAGAACCTTGCAGATGCTAGATGCTAGATGATCAACCTTTTCTGATCGATTCCACAACGTTTCTTTCACAATGCAATTGCATGACCATAACTGGTCTTTACCTTTAATCTGACTTCTATTTTAACCCTGTTTTTCACTCTCTATATTGGTATTGTTGTTGTACAGTCAGTTGTATAAATCATCTTTCCTCAGGATATCTCCCTGACAGGATGATCTGTTTTCTTTCCATTTTAGTATTAGTCCTACTTCTGTGTAGGACTAACTTTGGTCATGTTAATAGGCACCAAAGCCTCTTAAAGGATGTATTGGAAGGAAGCGTGGAAGGAAGTAGACCTAGAGGGAGACCCAGAATCAACTGGGAAGAGAATGTCAAGAACTGGAGTGGACTAAAAGTGCAAGAGTGCACCAGAATGGCAGAAGATAGAGTGAAATGGAGAGATGTTGCAATCAACCTCTGAACCGGGAGAAGATACTTGGATAGATATCTAGATCTGTGTGTTTCATGGTGATTTAATTGTGATTTGTTTTGTAATCTCCTTGACAGGATCTTCAAGCTGAGATTGAAGCTCACCACAGCATCCTGTCATCCCTCAACCAGAGTGGCGTGAAAGCAGTCCAGGATGCAGACAGTCCAGATGAGTCTCACACACTCCAGAAGAAACTAGACACTGTCAACCACAGGTGGACTAACATACATGATAGATCGGCTGAAATCAGGTCAGAATCTCCTTTGTTCTTCCACATCTTGGAGTTAGCAGAAAATAGTGGCAGAGTTAGCCAAGAGAACTGAATAGGTTGTGAATATTTTGTGTGTTTTGGCTTTGAGCATATATATATATCTTATAAATCACCAAATTTAAGATTATTTGATAGCAATCCTAGGCAATTACTATTGCCTAGGTCACATTTGCTCTACGGCTAGGATACGGCCGCCATAGGCCCACAAAATCAAGAGATACCTGCGACCTCAGGGTCACCCTAGGACATATCCCTATCTTTACAGGCTGTACGGGTCGCCGTGGGATTATAGCGCAGAGTTATAACTTTTTTCATTTCTAGGTTTGCCGTATTAATTAGACAATCAGACACACAGTAGCACCATACAATGGGCATACGGTTACCTACGGCCGCCGCAGGGAGTCCTAAGGCGACAGAGCGTCATCCCTTCTAAGGCCGTACGGCCGCCAAGGGGAAGTCCTAAGGCGACAGAGCATCATCCCTTCTAAGGCCATACGGCCGCCGAGGGGAAGTCCTAAGGCGACAGAGCGTCATCACTTCTTAGGCCGTACGGCCGCCAAGGGGAAGTCCTAAGGCGACAGAGCATCATCCCTTCTAAGGCCATACGGCCGCCGAGCGGAAGTCTTAAGGCGACAGAGCGTCATCCCTTCTAAGGCTAAACGGCAGCCGCAGGTTTTCTGTCTCCACAAATCCAAAATACGCCGTGCGGTTACCCTAACATGTGACCGTGGGAATGCTGCGGCGGTCCTATAATTGCTATTGGCCGTAGATAAATTAGACCGCACGGCTGCCGCGGCAAATGTGACCTAGGCATTAGGTGGTAAGATTTTGAATTCTACAAACTCAGGTCTACAGATCTGATTTGTCATTTGATAATGTTGATAAAATCATTTATAAAGCGGTTTTACACATTTTAAAAAGTGAATTTAATGAGGCTTTTGAGATTTTCAATGCTAGAAAGTGATTTTTTTATAGAAAGTCAGACAATATTTACTCTCCTTTACATGATCAGGAAACGTCTTGAAGCCAATGCAGAGGAGTGGAACAACCTTGTTAGAGCAACAGAGGAGTTGGTGAGGTGGATACGACTAAAGGAGGACGATCTGATCAAGAGGCAGCCAGTAGGAGGGGATTATAATTCCATTCAACAGCAGATCTCGGATCACAAGGTAAGCAAGATTAATGGCAAATTTCTAGTGAGAAACATTCTGTTCATATCAGCAATGAAAATCCTGAAGAATATATGTTATGTAATGATCAAAAGTTGTTGGGAGGATTACATGTTAGCAGATAAACATTAAGTTATAACTGTCAAAGAATACTTTGAAAAGTTCTTGCTACGAAGGTACATGTACTCCTCTTGAAAACATCTGTTGAATCAGTATACTTCCTCATAAAGGGCATTGAAATATGCTTTTGAAGTTTACTTTTGGATGCCTAAAATTAAAGATGAAGGTCAGTCCCAGATTTAATTAATCATATATGATTGATACACGTCTGTAAAAACCCAATTACACACACACACACAAATACTCTCACACACACACAATTGGTTAGGAATATGTATACGTATTACAAAAATTAAGATACTTATTTAATTTTTTCATGATGAATATTTACTGACCAAAACTTGTCCTTCCTTTTTTCCTCAGGTTTACAGGCAGCAGTTAGAAGAGAAACAATCAGCTGTTGAACGTAACTTACAAATGGGTAGCCTTTATCTTGCCGAACAGAGAGATTTGGGTAAGTACCAGTATCTTGCGTTACCGTATTTGTTGCATTATTCATGTGTTTTGAAGGCCTTGTTCAGACATATGGTAAACTGTGCCTGTTTGTTATGCCTCCTCTGACTGTAGCTCCCATCCAACACCAATCGTGGTGCTGGAGCCAATATTTTTATGTCTATGCCACCCTAGGTTGTGCATGCCTGAGGCATTATGTTTTGGGTTGTCTGTCTGTCCCATTTTCTTGTTATCAGGATATCTCAAGAACCACTCAAGTTATGAATTTCAAACTTGATGATAGTATATTTCACCATGAGGAGATGATTTGAATAGATTTTGGAGTAACTAGGTCAAAGGTCAAGGTCACAGAGGTCAATTTCTGATATTACAACAGGTTTTAGCCTTGCCATTGCAATATCTCAAGAATCACTAGATATGGGGTTCAAACTTTGGTTATAGTATGTATCATCATTGGAAGACAGTATGTACGTCAATGGTCAATTTTTGAAATTAGAGGTATTACCCTTGTTATCACAATATGTCAAGAACTTCTTAAGGTTCAAACATGGTAACACTTCAATATTATTATAGGAACATGGTCCAATATCATGTTGGGGCTAGTAGGTCAAGATCATAGTCATCAGTTGACATTTGATTATAGGCGTTTTGTTTTCATCCTGATATGTCACAAACGATTCAATCCATTTCCTATACTGAAATAAGGGCGAAGGCATATATAGGAGACAGAGTCGCATTGGTCTTGTCTGTGATGATTTATCTTTAATACGCTTCATTTGTGTATCTTATCAGTGAATATGCATAGGACTGTTGATGAGCGTAGTTGCCAGTCACTTACACACTTATAAAACAGCCACAGTGGTTTTCTGCTTTGTATCTGAATAATTTGGTGCTTGTGATTCTTGAGTAATCAATATAAAATCAATATACTCTTGGATACTTTTTGGATGATTAAATATTCATATATGTTGCCATAAGTTGTACATATGCTATAGATTATCATCTTTTAATGTATGATAACCAGATTTGTTGTTGGAACATTATCCGTAAGCCCTCTTTTTTCTTTTCTGATTGTTGTTGTTGTTCTCTCTATGTTAGATTTGTTATCAGAGAAGGAGTTAACAGGTCCAGAGGCTGAGGCTCATAACATTGTTCATAAACTCAAGGACAGCGTTACTGATCTTCAGGATAGCTGGAACAAACTCAATATCAAGTCAGAAAATTGGCAACACAAATTAGACGAGATGTCAACGGTAAGTTCCACTCCAGATCAACTCTATTTTGTTCCATTTTGTATTATTTCAGAATGCAGAATACTTCAGATATTGATGTCATAACTTGATAATACAATCAGTCAAAAGGACTTTATTTTAATAGTCAAGTGATGTATTCTGTGGAATAAGGCTTTATGCTCAAATTGTGTAATACAAAGGTGATTTCACGAGACATGTTTGTAATTACAGTTCACTATTCATCAGTGTTCCCTTTTATTATGCAGTCAGTATCAAAGTTTTGAAGGTTAGAATGTCTTATTTCACTTTTAGTGCCACTTTTAGTACAATTTTTTTTCTTGAAATCTGCATCAAACTACTCTGTCACAGATAATACTCTGTTTATTCATGCATATTGTTGTTTAGTATTATGAGGCTAAGATATGGAGGACACACATTTGTGTATTGGCTCAGTCAGTAGAGCGTCTGTCTCACAACCGGGAGGTCGTGGGTTCGAACCCCGGCCGCGTCATACCAAAAGACGTTAAAAGATGGGAGATGCTGCTACCTTGTCTGGCGTTCATCAATAAGGGATAGAGCAACGTCGATCTGGCGCTGCTCAGTGGCTGCCGGGCTCACAATCAATTGGGCAAAAAGAATTTCTATTTTTGGTTTAACTTCATAAAATTTGGAGTGGACTTTAAACAAAATATATTATTATTATTATTATATTGTTCATGTGATCATGTAAGTTAAGATTATGTCAAGAGGCAACATTTTGTGTAGACTTTTCAGGTAGAAAATATAGCTAGAATCAGGTGCATTTGGATCTGTTGATTTATCTCATTTTACAGAAAATGTTAGCCTTACACCAAGCCATGGACAAGCTGAGTTCTCGTCTGCATGAAGCTGAAGCAACAAGATCAAGATGGCTACCCGTCGGTGATCTTATCATTGATAGTCTACCTCAGCATCTAGCTGAACTAAGGGTATGGATCATTCTCTCTCTCTCCACTTCTGTTCCTCTCTCTCTCTCTCCCTCCCTCCCTCCCCCCTCCCCCCCCCTTCTCTCTCTCTCTCTCTCTCTCTCTCTCTCTGTATATATATATATATATGCATTTCGCTATTCCTCTCTCCATCCCTCCTGCTGCCTCTCTCTCTCTATGTCTCTCCCTCTCTCTCTCTCTCTCTCTCTCTATTCCTTTTTCTCCCATGTCTATCTTTCTGTCTCTATATATTTGTCTGTCATTAGTCTTAGTGTGTATGTGATACTGTTTTTCCTTCTTTATGTCTCTCTTTCTTTCCCTTTCAATATCTTTCTTTATATCATCATCTCTCATCAGCCTCTTTTCATTCTTGCTCTGTAAGTTCATGACTGTATGTCAGCTACATGTAATATATTTATCACATATATACTCTATCCCTCTCTTCCCTCCTCTTTCAGTTCCATTTCTGCTCCTTAATTATGCAATGTAAGACATGTCTAATGTCTCTCTCTCTCTCTCTCTTTCCATCTTGTTTGTTTCAGAGCTTCCAGGATTACTACAGCCCGATCCACGATGACCTGGAGAAGGTCACTCAGATGGCAGGTCACTTTCCCGCCCAGCAAGTCAGCCTTAGTACGGTCAACCAGGGACGGCTTGAAGACATCGTCCGCAGGTGGAAGACCCTACAGTTGGCCATCGACGAGAGGGCGAGGCTGCTCAACGAGGCTCTGAGGGATTTTGGTCCACAGTCCCAGCATTTCCTTAGAGGTGAGTGAAGATGGTGCACATTGAACAAGCACACTAGAATATCCAGGAGTTGAGAGTGATTTACATGTAGCAGTGAAATGTTCAAAAGGAGGTCTGGCGAAAAATAGAAAACCTTTACTTTTTCTAATGAAATTCTCAATTTAAGTGCAAGTTAGCTCTCTTACATGTTTGCTAAAAAAAAAGTAAGCATTAAAATAAAGGACCCGATGAAACCTAACACTTTTCTACAGACAATTATAAAGGGGTTACCAAAAGCTTTTACAAAAAGTAGCCTTTACATATAACTTGTTTTGTTTTGTTTGTTAATAGCTTCTGTGCAGCATCCCTGGGAGAGGGCAGTAGCAGCTAATAAGGTGCCATATTTCATCAAGTAAGTAGGATTGATATCTAATATGCTCTAATATAGATTGAAAGAATGATGATCATTATGATACCATATTGACATGAGCTTTACAGATTCATCAGTACTGGGAGGTAACCATTTAGCAAGATGTCCTTACATGTAAAATGAGTTCACATCGAGTACTAATAACAAGCGCTACTACAGATTTTATTGTTTTCTGAAAATTGCCTTTGCCTTCTTTAAAATCAGCTATTGAAGGTAAAGATTAGTTTTAGAAACGCCCCCCTGTCAAAAAATGAAATGGAAAAACGTGATCATAACAATTTTGCAGAGAAACCGCCTACTAATTGATATATTTGGTAAATTATTATATCTATTTGGACCTGATAGATATAACGCATGTGTCACGCACGTGTGGGGGTAGTCCCATATACATCTTTTTGAGTATCATAGCTTTATCAAGACTGGGCCAAATTTCTTATCACTTTGATGATTCCAGAACCTTGCAGTAGGCCTACACACCAATACTTTTATGCTAGATGATCAAGCTGTTCTGATTGATTCCACGTTTCTTTCACAATGCAATCGCATGACCAGAACTGGTCTTTATCTTTAAAATGTGTGACAGTGTAGAAGACAGTGGGAAATATGTCAGAATAGTCTTAGATTCAGAGGATTTTGGAAACTAACTATTTACCATTTTTGTCTCTGCACTTTACCAGCCATGGAACGGAGACTACACACTGGGACCATCCCCGTATGACAGAGCTCTTTCACTCTCTGTCTGACCTCAATGCTGTCAAGTTCTCAGCTTACAGGACAGGAATGAAGCTACGCAGGCTACAAAAATCACTTTGCTGTGAGTATGGATCTCATCATTTGTTTGTTCGTTTTTAAAAATTATTAAAATCAAATGTATCAAGTCAAAGTGAAATGTATAAATATGCAGAATGAATCAAAATTGTCAGATGTGATTCATAAATTTAGTGTGAAGATTTGGCCTGTTGTTACCATGGTGAAATATGATTTTTGTTTTTGTTTGTTTAGTGATCCCATCAGTATCCCAACAATATGATGAAAACCAATGATGAAGAGTAAATCCCACTAACAAAACAACAATAGATAGTGAAGACATAAATTAATGAATAATTGGATAAATGAGTAAGTAAGTACAAAAAAAAATAAGTCTGTATATAAGTAATCAATAAAAAAAAAGTGAATGAAAAAATAATGTTTTACATCTTAATAGAGCCCCCTGTGGATAGAAATAGAACCCCATAAACAATTATAGCCATTATAAAATAAGTAGTGTTACATCAGGAGTGTGTTTCATTGTGTGACTATGTGTTTGACCTCCCCTTTTGACCTCCAGTATACCTACTACCGGTAAACCTATCTCATTGTGTGACTATGTGTTTGACCTCACAGTATACCTACTAAACCTGGCCAGTGCTGAATCCATCTTCACCCAACATGAGCTTGTATCCGGTAATGACCGCACGTTGGATGTGACAGAGATCATCACGTGCTTAGCGACGGTCTATGAGAACCTTGCCATGGATCATCCTGGTATGGTTAATGTACCTCAGTGTGTTGACATGTGCCTCAACTGGCTGCTTAATGTCTATGATACGTAAGTACTTTATCTTTCTCTTTCTCCTTCTGCTTTTGCTTCTTCTCATTGTTCTCCTTTTTTATAGTCTGGTTGAAACATTCTTAGAGTAGCTATTACCTAGGATAAATTTTTAATTCGTACAATTTTTCTCAATAAAACCATTATCAATAAGGGAGTTTACAGATACAATCTGCGCATGGGCAGATAAAGGTCATTTGTATAAAAATGGTAAAACCCATGAGAGATGAATACTGGATATGCGCTCATGAAAGTTATGTAACATTATTCATTTATGCACCAACGGTACATTTAATGATACGCAGGTGGAAGTATTCTTTTCAAGAGGTCAAACAAAAGGTATTCATGAAGCACATCTAGGACTTTGGCAGTTATTATTCTAAGATGCTCAAAGTGGAACTTCTCCATGTGTAAAAGATCTGTGGATATTTGGGGTCATTTGTACCATGTGCTATCTGTAAACTCCCTTATTCAATCAATTCTCGCTACCCCAAATAGCGATTCTGCCGAGATCCGGGGAAAATCCTGAAAACGCGCATTGCATTATGGGATAGCTTTTCGACATTACAGCTTCCTGTGCAGGCGTTCGTGATCACAACCCTCTCTTTCACGGTAGAGTTTAACGGCCTTTTGTGCTAAAGTCACTAATTCTGCCCGAAGCTTTCCATTGCATATTATAATCTGTACAAATTACACTGATTGGCATCGATTTTAGCGTGCGTGAAAACTCTGCACAGCGAACACAGGCGCTAGCGCCAGCGGGATGGGACTCTATACCGGAAGTTGTAGTGACGACCCGAGAGAGTGAAAATTACCTCGTCTCGCGAATTTCGAGATTTTCGTACCTATTTAGGGTAGCGAGAATTCAATTATCTCATCTCATTCCAAAAAACCATCCAGCCATTCTCTAGCATGATGTGGTAAAAATATCCCTTCAAATAAGTAACAGCAAAATAATTATGATTTGTCATGTAAACAAAGGCAAACATATATTTGTTTCTGAAATAAGGATTATGTGGAATAGGTATATGATGTACAGAAATGTACTTCATTTTGATGCCTCCGTTACGAAGTAGCCGGAGGCATTATTTTTTCGGGTTGTCCGTCCGTCCGTACGTCCGTACGTCCCGTTCTCGTGATCGCGTTATCTGAAGAACCGAGTGATGGATTCCTGCCAAACTTTGGTCATGTATGTATCTTGCAGAGCCGATGAACTGATTAGATTTTGGGGTCACGAGGTCAGAGGTCAAAGGTCAAAGGTCACAGGGCTCATTATGTATGCAAAAACAGCTCGTGATCGCGTTATCTGAAGAACCGATTGATGGATTCCTGCCAGACTTAGGTCATGTATGTATCTTGCAGAGACGATGAACTGATTAGATTTTGGGGTCACGAGGTCAAAGGTCAAAGGTCACAGGGCTCATTATGTATGCTGAAACAGCTCGTGATCGCGTTATCTCAAGAACCGATTGATGGATTCCTGCCAAACTTAGGTCATGTATGTTACTTGCAGAGCCGATGAACTGATTAAATTTTGGGGTCATGAGGTCAAGGTCAAAGGTCATGCGGCTCATTATGCATGCAAAAATAGCTTGTGATCGCATTATCATTAGAACAGATTGATGGATTCCTCCCAAACTTAGATCATGTATGTATCTTGCAGAGCCAATGAACTGAGTAGATTCTTGGGTCATGAGGTCAAAGGTCAAAGGTCATGGGCTCATTATGTATGCAAAAATAGCTTGTGAACGCATTCTCATTAGAACTGACAGATGGATTACTATTTAACTCGGGACATCTTGCAGAGCCAATGAACTGAGTAGATGTTAGGGTCATGTGGTCAAAGATCAAAGGGTCATATATGTATATGAGAAATTGCTTGTAATCACGATATTCTGAGAACCTGTTAATGGATTACAATTGAACTTGAATTTGAACATTTTCTTCTGTTTTGGTTTGTAAAATTGCTCTATGACGGAGGCATCATTTCGACTGCACGCAGTCGAAGTTCCATCTAGTCTTTCCTGTTTCCTGTCTGAACACGGCTAACATGTGTTTCAGAGGTCATTAAAACAAAAGCTGATGATTATATTTTACATGCATCTAACCTAAGAGGCAAAGTCTTTCTGTTGAATTAGTGCAGACCTGATAATTACCTGATTTAAATCAGTTTCCTGCAGTTGTATATTTTGTTTGCCAATTATTATTTTTTTGATAATTATTTTCCTGCTTTTTTTTTACTCTCCCGATTTTACCCCTATTTTCTTGATTTTCCCCTTATGTTTTCCTATTTTTTTAAAATTTTCTTACTCAAGGGGGTGTGAAATCAGTTAAATCCTAGGTTTGATATATATATATATATATATATATATATATATATATATATATATGATGCAAAAGTGTCCCCTTGTTTAGTCATAAATCTTCTCTGACTAAATGCCTTGATCCAGCAACGGATTATTCTTACCTGATTTTTGTTTAGTTTTACATTTACTTTGCCAATTGCTTGATGATACGATTCAGTATTAATAGTTTTGTTGATCACTACTCCTCAATCCTATCTTTGACAGGGTGAGGAGTGGTAGGATACGGGTATTAGCCTTCAAGGTTGGTATTGTCATGCTCTGCAATGCTCATCTGGAAGACAAGTACCGCTTCATCTGTCGTTTTGTTGCTGATAAGAACGGGATGATTGACCAGAGAGGTCTAGGTCTTCTCCTACATGACTGTGTGCAGATCCCGAGGCAGCTTGGTGAGGTGGCATCGTTTGGTGGTAGCAACATTGAACCCAGCGTCAGGAGCTGCTTTAACATGGTGAGTGCATGGCTAGGATGCCTGGCCGGCGAAGGCAATGCTTCTCAAAACGATTTGGGGTGTTTGCTGGTTTGTAACAGAATACAAAATAATTGAATATTACAGGAAAATATATAAACACATTGCAGACTTTAACAAATTCCTTTTAAACGCATAGAGAAAATACATATATAGGAAATAAAATTTTACAATTAACATAATTTGTGAACACAGAAGACTGCCTTCATGAGCAAATTGCTTGATATTGATGGTCTCAATGTAGTAAAGGGGACATAAAGCTAACAAATCTATCAAAAAGAGGTCATGAGTGCTGCAAATGCATTGTGAGTACACTTGCTGTGTGGTTGAAATGTATTCATGAGTTGTGTTGTGTCTTCTTCGCCTTCTCGCGCTACGCTGCCACAATCGGAGGCAAAACAGACAGCAGCATTCTCCTCAGGACTCAGAGGGCTAAGACCTCCAAGGTTCCCACTGCCACTTCTTCTCCCCCCCCCCCCCTCCAATTCTAAGATTACCTCAGCAGCAGTCGGCTTTAAAATAGGTGAATAACCACTCCCCCTCCCCACTGCTCTGGCTTCGTGTATCTTGTCCCTACCCCCTCTGTGCTGGTAGAATCCACCAACACTACAAAAGAATTACCAATACCACTCCCATTAGCCCTAATCCTGCAGCTAAGCAGAGCACAGAAAACCAAAACAATTTTCTTCTGCAATCGCAGCAAACCGCCCTGCTCGTGGGAAACCTGCAAAGACTCCCATCCTCCATCATTGCAAGTAAATATGAATATGAATATGAAGTGCCTAGGCTTGCCCATTGATGAGTCGTCCCTTTTTCATTCTCCTGCCCTTCCGTCCCCAGACTGGCAGCAAACCTCTTATTGAACCAGCCCAGTTCCTAGCCTGGATGAAGTTAGAGCCCCAGTCCATGGTCTGGATGCCTGTCTTACATCGAGTGGCTGCATCAGAGACAGCCAAGCACCAAGCCAAGTGTAACATATGCAAAGAGTGTCCCATCGTGGGTCTCAGGTATCGCTGCCTCAAATGCTTCAACTTTGACCTCTGTCAGGTGAGTTCATCAATTGAGCATCATTGTGTGCAATCTGGGACCCGTTTCACAAAGCCTTTTTTCAATGACAAATGACAAAAATCAGTGACAAATCTGCTGATAACCAATCAGAAGCAAGGATTTCAGTAGCCTATAACAAAAACTGTCATTTGTCACTGATGACAAGTTTTGTGAAATACCCCCCAGAAGGTGGCTTAGGAGTTTCTTGTTTCATTATACATAAATGTATCCACTCTGTTTATTTTGTAGCTTCATTTAAACGGGGTGAGATTGCCAGTCATAAACGTACCATGCCACTTACAGGATCGTACATATAATCATTTAATCATAAAATTGATGAATAACCTTTTATTTGAAATCAAATTTATGTGAGAATAATTGAAATACAGTTGAAAGAGAAACACCAAGTAAAGAAAATGGGAAATCAAGAAAATGAAAGACTGCTGTAAAAAATCTGTGGCAGAAGATCACTGAGGAATATTTATTGTTAGTTTGTTTCTATTACATTATTTTGGTATTAAAGGATAAGTCCACTCCAAAACAATTTGCTTTCAATAGATGCAGAAAAACACGAGAAATAGAGCAAACAAAATTTGAGTAAAATCGGATAGCTAATATGGAACGATGGGATCCTTACACAAATTGCCAATTTGGTTATCAGTTTGTGACATCATCGCCTCATGTATCAATTGGTTTGTATATTTTGATCCCATTAATTTCCCTTTTTATCCCCAAAAACTTGATTTCCCCATGCCTTTGCCCAGCTTATATGATTTGTTTTATATTGCACGCATGACATTTCACAAAATCCATTATGAACTTTGAAGAATCAATACTATTTTCTGAATATTGTATATTCATAATTTTTGGTTTTTGTGTAAATAGTTTGCCAAAATTCACATTTTTTAAGATTTAACTGAAGAAAAAACCTCTCTTTATTAGTGCATCCACACACAGACATATTACTATCAATATAACTTGGATACTGGTGAGAGGAAATATGATTCTTTGGGAGGAAATGGCAAATTTGTATTACCAATATAAAGTAAACAATTAGTGGATAGTGAGGCAATGACGTCACAGACTCATGAGTGAGTTGCCGATTTGTCTTGTGATTTTCAAAGTTTATCATGTCATTAAAAATTCATAACTTTCTTATTAGTAATTTGATTTTGCTCAAACTTTTCAGGTGGGCTGTATCTATACAGACCACCTTATAATTTTGTTAAAATTGCCTTTATTATTATTTATTTATTTTATTTCTAACCACTTTTTGTTAACAAGATAACTTGAAAATGGCTAAATCAAATAACTTGAAATTTGGCACACATATGTATAGGCATATGGACAAAACACGGTAAGGTTTTCAACCTTGACCTTGACTGATGACGTCATCTAGGCGCCATTTTGTGAAATTTTCTGAAAATCATCTCATGATCATATCTTCATAACCAAAAATTATTTCTCATTCATATTTATCATGATCAAGGTCAATATCAGTCCGGTCAATTTCAGGTCAAAAAACGCGCGCATGCGCGTACGTCCGCGCGTCAATGCGCGCGCAAAATTTCAAAATGCTCAAAATCGTCTCAAATTTATTTTGCATACGTTTCAGGTCATTTTAAGCATTTTATAAAAAATCGCGCGTACGAGCATGCGCGCGCGTTTTCGCGCGTAACACCATTAAAAAACATAGAATCGCCATTTTTTTTTCTTTCATGATATTTTTCATATTTTTTCAAGGAATTTGATACCATGTTTATCTCTTTATGACCATTATTAACAAGATGAGCGTAAATTCAAGATAAATGTCAGTGCGCGCGAGCTCTTTTAATACATAGCATATATGGGCAAAAACATGCCTATACAAAATCCGTTATAGCTCTTTGGAATGCACCGGAATCCTCAATTTTTTTTCATATTTAGATAGAGTATGAGTCGGAAATATGATTCCATGTCTCATTTGGCCATTAAGTGTATCGTGACATCATCACAATGGCCTTGGAACTCAAAATACGAATTTGCATATTATGACGTCAGCATATTTATGTAAGATTGATTGTATCTCTGTAAATATTGATCAATTTTCTTCAAAATTTCGACATGTTGTAGCTAAGACAATTTTCTACAAGCGCAGTGTTAACCATTTTTCATTTTGATGACGTCATCATAGTGAAAATTTTGATTAAAGGCCTCATGTCAAAAACTTCATAATTTGCGTGTTATGCCTATAGAAGGTGAATTTAGTTCACGTTATGAATCTACATGATATTGTCTTTTAAGAATTTGTAAGCAGTATGTCGCTTATTTTTGCTCTATTTTGTCTCAAATGTTAGTTGACCAGCCCACCTATACTTGTTCCAAACAAGTATTATATGTCTAGTTTATTAAATATTTTTCTTATTTCTAACCACTTTTTTGTTAGCAAGATAACTTGAAAATGGCTCAATGAAATGCCTTGAAATTTGGCACACATATGTATAGGCATATGTACAAAGCACAATAACGTTTTCAACATTGACCTTCACTGATGACGTCATCTAGGCGCCATTTTGTAAAAATCAACTCATGATCATATCTTCATAACCAAAAGCTATTTCTCATTCATATTTATCATGATCGAGGTCAATATCCGTCCGGTCAACTTCAGGTCAAAAAACGCGCGCGTGCGCGTACGTCCGCGCGTCAGTGCGCGCGCAAAATTTTTGAATGCTCAAAATCATCTCAAAATCATTTTACATACGTTTTAGGCCATTCTAAGCATTTTATAAAAAATCGCCCACACACACGCGCATGCGCGCGGCGCGCGCGTTTTCGCGCGTAAAACTATTACACAACATTGAATCGCCATTTTTTTTCTTTCACAATTTGGCACACATATGTATAGGCATATGTACAAAGCACAATAACGTTTTCAACATTGACCTTCACTGATGACGTCATCTAGGCGCCATTTTGTAAAATTTTACGAAAATCAACTCCTGATCATATCTTCATAACCAAAAGGTATTTCTGATTCATATTTATCATGATCAGGGTCAATATCCGTCCGGTCAATTTCAGGTCAAATAACGCGCGCGTGCGCGTACGTCCGCGCGTCAATGCGCGCGCAAAATTTTGAAATGCTCAAAATCGTCTCAAAATCATTTTGCATACGTTTCAGGCCATTCTAAGCATTTTTTTAAAAATCGCGCACACGCGCATGCGCGCGCGTTTTCGCGCGTAAAACTATTAGACACCATAGAATCGCCATTTTTTTTCTTTCATAATATTCCACATATTCTTACAAACAAATTGATACCATGTTTGTCTTTTTATGACTATAAATAATTGAATAATCGACCGTTTAACATAAATTTCAATGCGCGCGAGCTCTTGTAATACATAGCATATATGGGCAAAAACATGCCTTTGCAAAATCCATTATAGCTCTTTAGGATGCAAGGTGACCCCAATTTTTTTTTCATATTTTGAGCGAGTATGAATCAGAGATATGATTTCATGTCTCATTTGACCCTCAATTAACTCATGACGTCATCATAATGGCCTCCGAACTCAAAATTTCAATTGGCCTATTATGACGTCAGCATTTTTTTGGAAAATTGATTGTATCTTTCTAAAAATTGATTAATTTTCTTTAAAATTTTGATATGTTCTAGCTGAGACAATTCTCTACAAATCCAGTTGTCACAATTTTTCATTTTGACAAAGGCATCATGGCGTATTTTTGCAATTAAAGGAGGCAAGCTAATTTTTTCACATTTTGCGTGTATTCTCTATGGGACATGACTTTTTCTCAAAACTTGATTCTACATTCCCGTCTTTCGCGAGCAATATCTACGTCGTTTTAGCTTCATTTACGCTGAACTCCGAATATGTTGTAGCTGAGACAAAAAGCTATTTCAAATGTACCCTTTATTTTGTCTCAATTTTTTGTTGGATCAGCCCACCTATACTTGTTCCAAACAAGTATTACAAATCTAGTATATTTTTCTTATTTCTAACCACTTTTTTGTTGGCAAGATAACTTGGAAATGGCTCAATCAAATAATTTGAAATTTGGCACACATATGTATAGGCATATGTACAAAGCACAATAACGTTTTCAACATTGACCTTCACTGATGACGTCATCTAGGCGCCATTTTGTAAAATTTTACGAAAATCAACTCCTGATCATATCTTCATAACCAAAAGGTATTTCTGATTCATATTTATTATGATCAGGGTCAATATCCGTCCGGTCAATTTCAGGTCAAATAACGCGCGCGTGCGCGTACTTCCGCGCGTCAATGCGCGCGCAAAATTTTGAAATGCTCAAAATCGTCTCAAAATCATTTTGCATACGTTTTAGGCCATTCTAAGCATTTTTTAAAAAATCGCGCACACGCGCATGCGCGCGCGTTTTCGCGCGTAAAACTATTAGACACCATAGAATCGACATTTTTTTTCTTTCATAATATTCCACATATTCTTACAAACAAATTGATACCATGTTTGTCTCTTTATGACTATAAATAATTGAATAATCGACCGTTTAACATAAATTTCAATGCGCGCGAGCTCTTGTAATACATAGCATATATGGGCAAAAACATGCCTATGCAAAATCCATTATAGCTCTTTAGGATGCAAGGTGACCCCAATTTTTTTTCATATTTTGAGCGAGTATAAATCAGAGATATGATTTCATGTCTCATTTGACCCTCAATTAACTCATGACGTCATCATAATGGCCTCCGAACTTAAAATTTCAATTTGCATATTATGTTGTCATCGTATTTTTGGAAAATTGATAGTATCTCTCTTAATATTGATCAATTTTCTTCCAAACTTGTGTATGTTTTAGCTGAGACAATGTTCTACAAATGCACTTGTCACAATTTTTAATTTTGACAAAAGCATCATGGCGTAATTTTGCGATTACAGGAGGAATGTCAATTTTTCACATTTTGCGTGTATTCTCTATGGGACATGAGCTTTTCTCAGAACTGGATTCTACATTTCCGTCTTTTGCGAGCAATATCTCCGTCGTTTTAGCTTCGTTTACGCTGAACTAGTATGTTGTAGCTGAGACAATTAGCTATCTCAAATGTGCCATTCATTTTGTCTTAAGTTTTAGTTGGACCAGCCCACCTATACTTGTTCCAAACAAGTATTACAAATCTAGTTTTGATTAGTTTGTCTGATTTTTCTGCTTCTATTGAAAGTAAGTTCTTATTGGAGTGGAGTTGCCTTTCAGTATCTATTTAGGCTGCCCACAGCAGCTTGTATACATGTTTCTGCTTGCACATAATGTAATATTTAAGTAATATTGACTGCCTTCTGGGCAATACGACATATATCGTCCGAACCGAAGGTGAGGGTGATATATGACCAGTCGTATTGCCCTGAATTAGGCAGTCAATATTACTATTATTAACCACATCAGACATCTAGAGCAAACAAGAAACTCATACTATCTTATACTCTCAAATTATGTAGCCTACACTGCACAGGGTTTCCTAACATTAGAAGTTGCAAAAACATTGTCAAACCAGCACTGTGCATCCAAAGTTTGACAAATTTTCGATACACTGCAAAAACAGTGTGCCTAGGGTGTGATTGTTACGTCACAATAGAGTTCGCGCAAAGTGCGCATTTTCTTATACGCGATGCGCAATGTAAATTACAGTAGCTGATGCGCGCTGTAAATTACAGCTGGCTCTATATTATTGCTCACTAGTTTAACACGCATTTTGCCATTGACTTTTCAGATCGGGTAATAATATTTGTTCATTGGTTTACTGTATAACCATATTGACCGGCAAATTACACACAAAATCCCATTGACTTTTCACATCGGGTAATAATATTTGTTCATTGGTTTACTGTATAACCATATTGACCGGCAAATTACACACAAAATCCCATTGACTTTTCAGATCGGGCAATAATATTTTTTCTTTGGTTTACTGTATAACCGTATTGACCGGCAAATTACACACAAAATCCCATTGACTTTTCTGAGCGGTCAATAATATTTTTTTCGCCTGTAGTTTTGTTGGCTTATCCATCAAACCTTGAGGGCAATAACATTTAAAAATTGCCCTGCTCAGATGTCTGATACGGTTAATAATCTTTAATAATCACCAATTGTACATCACTTGAACAGAGTGTGTGTAGACCCGTTGTGTGTACCTTTTGTTGAAAGGGCAATCCAACCCATAAGTGGAAATAAATGGATGAAAAAAACAAAGGAATTAGTGAATATTTGCCCTGGTAAACATGGCTTCTGTATACACTAATAACTAACATAATCTCTCTCTCTCTCTCCCTCCTTTCTTCCATTTCCAGAGCTGCTTCTTCTCTGGTAGGAAAGCAAAGACACATAAGCTTTCACATCCAATGCAAGAGTACTGCACAACAGTGAGTATTTTCAGTTTATTTTGTTTTGTTTAATTAAAGAGGAAATGGTGGTGAGGTTGATAATACTTATCGGCAGGTTGAATGAGAAGGATGAAAAAGAGTAGGCAAAGATGAAAATTGAAATTGGGCAGATTTAAATATGCATTGTGAATGTAAACTGTAGTAATCCTGATAACAGTCCTATAAATCATATTGATAGAGAAGGGATTACAATTATATCAGGAAATGCGATAGAAAAGGGATTACAATTATATCAGGAAATGCTAGATGATCCCACTTCCAAGTTGAGGTATGCTTTTTGCTCTCTCTCTCTCTCTCTCTTTCTTTTTCTCTGGACTCTTGATCAATCTATCAGACATCCATTGGTTGAAGTAGAAAGTCTTTTTACTCATGATAAAGTATGCATATTTTCAGTTGGACTAGGGTAAATCTATCCAGTTTACTTTGCCATGCCAGTCTTAAACAACATCTTGAAGAACGTCTACATATTATCGACTGCTCTTGAATATAATTGCAGTGAATATCAAGTAACCCAATTCATTCTCTCTCAACAGACGACGTCGGGAGAAGATGTGCGAGACTTTGCCAAAGTGGTGCGTAACAAGTTCAAATCGAAGCGGTACTACCGAAAACACCCTCGTGTAGGTTACCTACCTGTCCAGTCAGTACTAGAGGGTGACGATTTAGAATCGTAAGTCAACTTTTTAATGATAATATTGGATAACTTGTTAAAACTCATAATTGTTGATCGCCATCATTCAAGACAGATTACCAAAAATCAAGTAGGTAAAGAAGGAAAGGGTGGCAAGGAAGTTAGTCCTTTTGGAGTTGGATCACACAATGAAAGAAGTTTTAAGTTTTTAGATTTCTGAAGTATAAACCATCTTTTCGTGACCAACAACAGCTCTGTTATGAGAACCCTTTGTGAACAAAGTGTAGAAATACAGAAAAAAAGTAGAGTTATGTTTTGTCGACTACGAGAGAGCGTAAGGTAAGCGTAGGGTAAACTGGGTTAAGCTACCGGATGTGTTGACATCTCTTGAAGCCGACTGGAAGGAAAGGCACCTCATCTGGAACTTTAACATGTGACAGACAGTAAAAATGAACAGCAGAAGAAGACTCTGGACCTGGAAACATTGGGAGAGGAGTTCAAGATGGCTGTCCACTCTCACCCATCTTGTTCAATATTTATGCTGAGGCTATGGTAAAATAAAGCATAGATGAATATGAAAGATGGAATCAGAGTTGGTAGTAGATTGGTGGACTCTGTTCATTGTGCAGATGACAAGGCCATCTATGCTAATTGATGTTATATAAATTGAAGAAACAGCCGGAAAACAAATTTTATGCCTTATGAACTTGAACCTGAACTTGTTAGTGAAAGTGGAGACTAAGGTTAATGAACTCACTGGAGACAGCAGGTAAAGATCCTGGAATGAAGATTAATACTACTAAAACAAAAGTAATGAAAGTAGCAAGATCAGAGGGGCCAGATATGAAGATCATAATCTCTTGTAATGGATACAACACCAGAGAGATCAAATCCCACACGGCACTAGCCAAGAAAGGAAAATAGATATATTAATGAATTTTATCATTTCTTTTCAGACCCATCACTACTCCCCAACACATGGCTAACCAAGACACGCATACACGGCTAGAGCTGTATGCTAACAGGTATATCCCTTCTTTGGGTCCGGGCTAAGTTGCACTTCCTCAATATTTCCCTCTCTCATGCACTTTTGCGTATCAATGCATCTGTATTCTGTCAAAGCAAATGTATCCTGACATTACTAATCACGCGAAGATTCCTTGTAACTTCTGAAAAATTGAGGTTGAGATAGCCTTAAAGGTAAAGACCAGTTTTGGAAATACCCTCCTCTCAAAAAATGAAACCGAAGCTCTTATTACCAATCATGTGAAAGAATATGTTTTGACTAATACGTGATGATACACATTTTGCCGGGAAACCGCTAATGCTAATTGATATATTTGGTAAATTATTATATCTATTTTGACCTGATAGATATTGCGCGCACGTGTCACGCACGTGTCGCCTAGTCCCATATACATCTCTCCGTGTACAGTGCTTGTAACTTTACCAAGACTGGGCCAAATTTCTTATCATTTTGATGATTCCAGAACCTTGCAGTACACACCAGTTATATGCTAGATGATCAACCTTTTCTGATCAATTCCACGTTTCTTTCACATTGCAATCGCATGACCAGGACTGATCTTTACCTTTAGGAGAGGACCTATTTCTTCTATTATTATTATTATTATTATATTATTGTTATTTTTTAATTTTGATATTAATAATAATAATACTCAGTTTTTATATAGCGCTTATTACAAACTTGGAGATTATTACCCCGGCTTTAGCTGTGTTGCCATTGCGGCGCTCTAGCATTTCAAGGAATTAATTTCTGCCAGGTACCCATTCACATCACTGGGGTTGAGTGTGGCAAATGTAGATGTGGGGTAATTGTCCTAGGAAGTGATTTCCGGGAGATAATTGTCCTCAGGGGTGGTTGTCCTTGGGGTAATTTTCCGGGGGGGGGGGGGGGGGGGGGGGGGGGGGGAGGGTGCTGATTGTCCTGATACGTATAATAGATAATGAAAAGGTACATGTACATGTGATGTTGAAAATTTAGAAAGGTAGATTCTGCAAGACATAATACTTGCACCTATTTAAAGATATGGTGTGTAGCTTGCACACTTATAACTGATTTACAGTTTGCTGCAAATGTGAGTAAGCTTCATGCCCCCTCCTGTGTATGAGATTTGCCTTTTTTCAGACCTGTTTATGATATAATTTGAATGTTGGAAATGTCTTTGTTTAGTTTAGTTTTTTTTAATCTATGTAATCTCTAACTTTTTTGTGAATGTTTTGTTGAGTAATATGTTATCCTAGTGTGCTCATTTTTTTTTTTTTTTTTTTTTTTTTTTTGGGGGGGGGGTTAGCATATTTCATTTACCTTTATTTACGAGTGTCTGTTAAAGGTAAAGACCAGTTATGGTCATGCGATTGAATTGTGAAAGAAACGTTGTGGAATCGATCAGAAAAGGTTGATCATCTAGCATCTAGCATCTGCAAGGTTCTGGAATCATCAAAATGATAAGAAATTTGGCCCATTCTTCGTAAAGTTACAAGCACTATACACAGAAAGGTGTATATGGGACTACCCTATATCTCTCACAGACCATGAGAGAAACAAATTTACCAAATATATAAATTAGTAGGCGGTTTCCCGGCAAATTTTTTATCATCATGTATTAGTCAAAACATATTCTTTCACATGATTGGTAATGAGAGCTTCCATTTCATTTTTTGAAATTGGGGCGTTACCAATACTGGTCTTTACCTTTAAGGACATTACATTTAATGTCATTTCATTTCATTGAGGCAAATACGAATGTAAGATGCACTTACCTAATTAATTGCATCATGTTATTAATTCCTTGTTTTGTATCTCATCCATACCTACAGGTTAGCAGAGGTTGAAAGCCAAGGAACATTAAACTCTGTACCTACTGACCTGTGAGTACTTGTTTTATTGACCACTTCAAGACAGAAATTTGATGGGTTTAACCTTCTTCTCGTCTTCAAACACAAACATACTCAGAAGGCAAATGAGAAATTTCTTTAGAATTCATCTCATGACTACTGGGACCTAGCTAGAACAAAAATATCAGTCAGTTATTTTTGGATTCAAATTTCAACAGTGCATTAAATAAAATGATAAATAAATAATAATGGGTTCTTGTATAGCGCTCATGTCTGTCAGATTTGACCCTCCTGGCACTCCCGATTATTACCATGGCTTTAGCACGGCTGCCATACGGAAAGAAAGTTTATATACGTGAATGTAGTGTAGTTGTGTAAGACGTACTCGTACCTTGGCTGATACTGAAATATAGCAACATTGCAGTAATTTCCCTTAATACATCATGCCATCTATTGTTCTTGCTCTTGTTGTTGTTGTTGTTGTTTTCGTTCATTTTTATGCCTCCGCCCATCGAAGGTGGTGCCATAGGCATTTTGGATTTGGGTTGTCTGTCCATCCGTACGTCAATCCTGATTTTTTTTGTTATTTCAAGAACCACTTGACTTGATATATGAACTTTAAACTTCATAGTACAGTACGTATCAATCTGATTAGATTTGGGGTTAGTTGGTCAAAGGTCTAAGGTCATAGAGGGCAACTTCTGAAATTCCAGCTTTGTTAATCGCGGTATCTCTAGCCACTAGAGACATGATGCTAAAATTTGGTGATGGTATGTATCATCATTATAAGACAATCTGATTAGATTTTCATTAAGTAGGTCAATGATGAAAGGTCATACGATAAGTTCTGAAACTACAGGTTCTTTCCTTGTAATCGCATTATCTTAATAACCATAAGAGGTATTAGCCTCAGACTTGGTGATAGCATGTATCACCATAGGAAGACCCTCTCATCAGAATTAAGTTAAGTAGGTCAAAGGTCACACAGAGGTCAGTTTCTGAAATTAACGGTTTTTAGTCTTGCAATCGCTTCAAAATTGATGATAATGTATATCATCACCATAGGGAGACAATCTCATTAGATTTGAGGGTATGTATGTAAGACTCAAAGGTCATACAGTGTAAATGTCAATGGCTGAAATTTCAGGTATGAGCTTTGAACATTGGAAAAGGTTTTTATCACCATAGGAAGACAACCTAATTAGGTTTTAGGGTAAGAAGAACAAAGGTCAAAGTCATAGAGATCAATGTTTGAAACTAGATGACATCACAATATGTCAAGAACTTCGTGAGGTGTGTGCTTCTACTCTAGAAAGATCATAGTTCATAGTCGACAGTAGATTGTAGACTTTTTGTTTTCATTTAGATATATGTCACAAATAATTCCATCCAATTCATATATTGAATTTAGGGTTTCTATTTATTGATTGGAATTGTTTGTTTATGTCTTTTCAGTGAGGATGAGCATCAGTTGATAGCTCACTACTGTCATAGCCTTGGTGGAGATGTATCAACAGTGGTAATTTCATCTTTCTCTTGTTAAATTCCTTTTCCCCTATTTTTGTCTCGCCTGTGTAACAAAAAGAGAGACATAGGCGCCGCTTTTCTGGTGCTGGGCGGCACTATTTTCAAAAGTTGTAAAGCATTTTTATGGAATGTGAATGTATTTTGAAAAGTTGATAAGCATTTTTATGGAATGTGAATTTTCTCCGTAGTCAAAGCTAACAAATTACGAATGTAACCCTATGTTCTAAAACTTTGAAATAAATACATATATTTAGACGTATTATTTATCTTGTGAATTATTATTTAGTATTATATGAATTTGTTGATGTTATCTCTGCAGCTTAATTACCCAGCTTAGATCATTGATTTTCAATGTTTGTAATGTATTATGATGAATTTGATGTTGTCCCTTACAGCCTAATAGCCCAGCTCAGATTGTGGTATCCATAGATGCTGAACACAGACCTGACCTTGAATCACAAATTAATGAGCTGGAAGATGAAAACAGGTGAGTTATTTGAATGGACCCCTTCAAATTTCAATTTTAATTCTACCTTCATTGGTTGTAAGGTCAAATGTTTTCATTCAAGATTAATGAATCAGTAGGTTATTATTTATGAATAGAAGTTAACTAAACATAGGTAGTGGATTATACAAAAATAAGAATAAAACATTGTGACTACTACACTGTAGGTCATGATATTAGTTAAAACTGTCCATGTAAAGTGCCCAGCTTCTAACAATGATTTAGATTTGCCCTGGGCTGTTTCCTGTGTTGTGCAAGTGGATCAATAAAGTGATGGTTTTTGTTATGCCTCCACCCAACGAAGGTGGTGTCAGAGGCATTATGTTTTCATATTGTCTGTACAGTTTATACAGTCCGGCGCATAGTCTTTCTAGTCGGCTGAGACAAATTTGGTAGAAAAGAAACCGTAATCTACATCAACAAACTCACATGGTATTCCGTTGTATTCCTGACATTGTGCATCCATCAGTTTGAGCAAAATCCAATGAAAAATAAGAAAGCTATGCGTTTTTGAAGTTGCGATAATATTAAATACAAACTGGCGACTCTGTGACATATCTTGCGAACTCCTTTCCAATCTGCTCTGTACAAAAAATTGCATAAACTTTCATTTTCTTAGTTATTAATGACAGGATAGACTTGTTTCATAAATGGTTATATAAAAACCTATTTGCAATAATTATATTGTAACGGGTTTTGTCCGGGGTCCCTGCACCATTTACCGAGCGGTCAATAAATCTCACGAGACTCCAATCACCCGCACGGTTCTTTCATAAACAGTGAAGCTATCACTCCAACATCATCGATCGCACTCAGATCACGCTACTTTTCTATAATACACGGAAACACAGTGTCATTTTACATCAAAAGGTACTTGCCTTTATTCACGAAGAACTCCAACTTTACAATGTAACTTCCCTTCAACAGCTAGTAGCAGTACTCCGATTCACCCTGTTTCACCTATCTTATCCTGCCCTCCCTAGCTACCTGCCCGAACACGTCCTCTCTTGCTCATGCCTAATACCTAACTGCCCACCCGCATGCACTGACCCACATGCGCCCGCTACGTTGAAACAACTCCGTTACACTGCCCCCTCCTTAATTTAAAAACGTCCTCGTTTTATAAACTTAAAAACAACTAATCCCGTGCGTAACATTAACTATAAAACTGCAAGTCACAAAACATCTCAAAACTTGAACAATCAATAACTGATGAAAACATGAAAAATATACAGAGTCCGTTTCTTTTCTTTTTTTTTATTACACGTAGTAAGTCCTTTGGTTATTATCTGCGATCATCATATGAACTTGTGCATAGCGTCTAACATCTCACTGAACGGATTGGGTTGAATCATCAAATCCTGCAATGATGTCGACATGAAATTCCTTCCTTGATTCCTCTTTACTAACAAGGATCCCCCCTTGAAATATTTGCCTAGTGGTAGTCTGCGTCACGCTCTGAATCCTCCCTAAGATAGCTCGCGAGAACTGCTCATCTGACATATGAACACCTACGACTCCAGCTTGGACACTACGCACCTTCGTCGTCCCCCCGTCTTCTTCCTTCTGACTCCCGTCGGCACTATTCCGCAAGAAGATGGCGCCGTACTTCCTCTCCCTCGTCTCTTGGAAAACTTTCTCTGCCCCATTATACGAGGTCTGGGAGGAAAATTCATTAACTTCCACCCTCTGGTTGCGCAACAACCTCTTCACGTCAAGGGGCGGAATCGGACGACCTATTTGGACACTCCTGACATCAACAGCTGTGCCTCCACAACCATCTTCCGGCGACGCCACATCAGCGACTGCAGATTCCTCTGATTCAGAACTGGTGAGTTGCTGCTGTCTCATCATAGCGAGTGGCTTACCAGACAGTCTTCTCGAGCGACTGTCTTTCCTCCCCTCTACTTCTTCCCTGGTGCGAGGAGAGACGACAACCTGGAGCGGGTCTTGGGGCAACTCATCGCGTTCAAGCTTTGCCTGAACAACTTGTTTCTTCCTGTCCTTTCTCTTCTTCTCCTCTCTCTGGTTCGGCAAAGGCGACCTCGACGGGCTCCTACTGCGACGGCGATGATCAGACTTGCTCTGCCTTTCAAGGTACCTTCCCCGCAGCTGGCTTCGCTCCCGGTCTTGGGATTTCTCAGGATGTCTGTCTCTGCAATGTGCCGTTAAGTTATCTTTCCTGTTGTATGCTCTGCTGCAATATTGACATACAAAGCGTTGTTCGTCCTTGTGTTCGACGTCAATGTGACGATCCAAGCTCCTCTTGTGTGCAAAGTACTTCTGGCATGTGAAGCACTTGATTGTCCTCTCGGAGTCCCCTCCCATGTTGATCCCTCAGCACGAACACGATCTGTGCAAGCAACAAAGAAAGAATTGAAGTGATTACTAATCTATGATTTCAGTACAAATTCGAAGCTTCATCCGTCAATCCAGCAAAATAGTCACATAATCATGTCAATGCAATCACGCTAAAGTCAAATCTCATATAGAAGTCGCCCTGGCGCATTCCTTGTCCGTGGTGGATTTCGTCTAGGGACTGGGCTTGGCTGTACAGTACTGTCCGCTTTACTTTGCAACAACTCCCCTTCGGCTATGTCTTGTATCTGCTCAGTTTCTGTTTCTGCCTGGACTCCAACACCATCTTCTACAAGGTCTTCTGTTTGTGATATTCCAATCTCCTCTTCAGCGTGGTCTACTTGCTGACTTGTAGGTTCATCAATCCACGAGGCAAGAGGTTCACCTAAATAAGGCTTTAACCTGTCAGCATGAACTACCATCTTCTTTCCTCGGTTCTTTGCCTGTATCCTGTAGACGACATCAGACAATCGATGAATGATGAGGAACGGCCCTTTCCAACGACGCTGCAATTTGGGAGACAACCCCTTTGTCCTAGCTGAGTTGTAGCACCACACAAATTGCCCGACCGTTAATTCATGTGCATGTGCTTTCCTGTCGTAGACCTTCTTCTGCCTCCTTGAACTCTCTGATGTGTTCTCCCTCGCTCGTTCGTGCGCCAGCCTCATCTTGTTCCTTAGGTTTTCCGCATAATCCGTATCCAGACCGCGATCCAGCTCCCGATCATCCTTGCACAAGTCAGCGGAAAGGTCTATTGGCAGATGTACTTCTCGCCCTAACATCAACATGTTCGGTGTCTCGCCGGTCGACTCCTGAGGGGATGAACGGTAGGCGAAGAGAGCGAGGGGTAACTTCTCATCCCAATCTCTTTGCCGTCTGGTAGGTTCGATGGCCATGGACACAATGGTGATCAACGTACGATTGAATCGCTCAATTAGTCCATCGGATTTCGGGTTGTACGGCGTTGTCCGTGTCTTCTCTATGCCCAAGACACTACACATCTCTCTGAAGACCGCTGATTCAAAATTTCGGCCCTGGTCCGAATGCAAGACTGATGGGACTCCAAAACGACATACAAACTGGTTCACGAACTCAGTCGCCACAGTTGTTGCTTTCTGGTCAGGTATTGCATAGGCTTCCATCCATCGGGTGAAATAATCTCCCACAACCATTATGTATCGGTTCCCTCGCTCCGACTCGGGAAGGGGGCCCATGATGTCCAAAGCGACTCTTTCCATCGGCATGCCGACTTGGTGCTGCTGCAAGGGGGCCCTCCTGGTCTTGTTGGGTGATTTTTTAGAAGCACATACGTTGCATTGACGTACTGTGGACCTAACATCTGTATCCAGGCCAGGCCAGTAGAATCGCTGGCGAACCTTTGCTGTAGTCCTACGCATTCCGAGATGTCCGCCTGAAGGCCCGCTGTGTATTTCTTGGACCATCATCTTCCTGAGGGCCTCAGGCAACACAACATGCCACTCAATCTGATCGCCTCTGTTTGACTCCCATCTTCTACAAAGGACGCCGTTTCTGATCTCGAGTTGGTCCCAGCATCGCCAATATGCCTTCTTCGCAGCTGAAAAGGAAGACATTGTACTCCAGTTGGCCCGGTCTTCTCCTTTCTCCTTCATCTCTATGACCCAACTCATGGAACTGTCATCTAGTTGTCTGTCTCTCATGTCTGCAGAGGTGATTGATGGCTCGAGGGTCACGGCGTTCACTTTCACTCCATTGTCTATGTGAACTTCTGGGATTTTCTGTTGCTCTTCCAGAGGTGGCTCACCTCCTCCACACTGCTTGCAAGCAACACATGGCCTTCTCGACAGGCTGTCAGCGTTGGAATGAGAACGACCAGCCCTGTGTACTATCTCTATGTCATATTCTGCTATGACCTGTAGCCATCGTGCCATCTGCGCCTGCGGGTCACGGAAATTCAGCAGCCATCTCAAGGCGCCGTGGTCGGTTCTGACAGTAATTTTACTTCCGTATAAGTACTGTCTGAAATGCTTGAGGTAGACAACAACGGCTAGAAGTTCGCGTCTTGTCACACAGTAGTTCCTTTCGGGTTTGGATAGAGCTCTGCTTGCATATGCGATGACTCGCTCCTTTCCTCCTACTTCTTGAGAGAGTACCGCACCTATGCCCACGTTGCTTGCATCAGTGTCCAGTATGTATGACTTTTCAGGGTCTGGGTATGCGAGGACTGGTGCCGTCAGGAGATGTTCCTTCAACTCAGAGAAAGCGCAGTCACACTCGTTAGTCCAGATGAATTCCCTGCCTTTTTCGGTGAGCTGGTGAAGAGGACGTGCAATGTTTGCAAAACCACCAATGAAACGTCGGTAGTATGACGCCAATCCGAGGAAGCTTTGGACTTCTTTAACAGAAGTTGGAACTGGCCAATCCTCCACTACTTTGATCTTTTCAGGATCGGTAGAGATGCCATCAGGTGACACTACGTGGCCAAGGTACAAGACACTCCTTTTGAAGAGATGGCACTTTCTGGGTTTCAGCTTCAACCCGGCATCCCGGAGGCGCTGGAAAACTGTCTCTAGTCTTGTCAACTCTTCATTTACAGTCTTAGCAAAAACAATCACATCATCGAGGTACACGAGTAGAACCTTCCAGTGTAACCCTGTAAGGACACGCTCCATAAGACGTTCAAACGTCGACGGCGCGTTACAGAGCCCAAACGGCATGACCCGCCAGGAGTAGAGGCCACCACGGACCACAAATGCCGACTTCTTCTGGGCATCCTCATCTAGCTCGACCTGCCAATATCCTGACGCTAGATCTAGAGTTGAGAACCATTCTGATCCACCCAGAGTGTCCAGTGTCTCATCAATGCGGGGTATCGGAAATGCATCTTTCACTGTCACGTTGTTGAGTCGCCTATAGTCTATGCAAAATCTCTTCGATCCGTCCTTTTTGCGTACCAACACAACGTTTGAAGCCCACGGGCTTTCTGTTGGCACTATGCTTCCAGATTGAAGCATGTCCTGTATCTGGGAGTCAATCTCTTGCTGTTCCTTTGGTGGGAATCTTCGTGGCCTCTCCTTTATCGTTGACGCATTCCCTGTGTTGATGCCATGGCGAACAAGGTTGGTCCGTCCAATATCTGTGTCAGATTTCGCAAATACGTCTTGGTTCTTGCGTAGAAGTTCGGCAATGTTATCGTGAAAGCTGTTGGGTACCTCTGTCTTGCTCCGCTTGAACAAATCAACCAAATGTGGAGGGACGTCACCTGTATCTTCATCGTTGGATGTGTGCATTGTCATGTCTACAACATCAGTCTTTTTCACCGGGGTAAAGTGACCTGCCATTGTGCCTCGCTTGATAGTGCATTCCCTGTCTCCGGGGTTGTACACTCGAATAGGTACTGTGTTGTCTGTAGATTCTGCCAAGATTCTTGCAACCATCACCCCTTTTCTTCCTACTTCGTTTTCCTCTGTAGGTTCTAGGATCCCGAGACCGGCTTCACCAGGATTCCCCTTAATCAATCCTGGGACCAATGCTTCATGACCCGGTGGAATCTTGGTAGTCTCCTCTACCACCACCCTGAAGCATAATCCATGCCCCAGCTTATCACTGCATTTGATTTTGTCTCCATTCAAGTCCAGTTGCAGTTGTTGTAAGTCGATCTTCGCATGTGTTGCTATCAGAAAATCCATTCCAAGGATCCCTTCTGCTGAGCCAGTATTGCCAAATATGACACGAATTGAACAAACCGTCCTGCCAACCTTTAATTCTAGACAGGAGCTGCCCATTGTCTCCATTCTGCTTCCATCAGCATTAGAAACGTTTGCTCCATACCTTGTCAATTCTGGCTTTTTCTCGTTGGGAATTCGGTAGTATACTGTGTTAGAAAGAATTGTATCTGTTGCTCCCGTGTCTACCAAAAGCATGGTCTTGACTCCCCTAATCTCAACTTCAACGTAGAGTCCACTCTGGACACATGCCCTAGACACATTATGTCTTTCCTGATCAGTTCTGCCCCTTTGGTTGTTCTCTACTGTTCGTCCTTTCCGGTTTTGCCCTTGTTTTCTTGTGGCCTTCCCTCGGGCTGCAGAGTCGGCTCGTGCTCGTTTCCCGACGGATCTTGTCCTTTCTTCTGAGGACAATTCCGAGCCAAATGCCCCTTTTCGCCGCAATTGTAGCAGTTCCGAACTTCTCCACGTGATTGGTTCTTCCACGTTTCTACCTTGTTGTCTCGTTCTTCAAGTTTGAGCTTCATCTCTTTTAACTCTTTCCATATTTCTGTGAGAGGTGATTGCTGTTCCTCCGTCGATCTGGCTAGTTTGCGGTGGAACCTGCTTCTCCCACTTCGTTGGTCTTCAAGGCGGAAAAAGTTGTCCGTGGTCATAGCAGCTTGTATTGCCTCATCCATTGTGGTTGGCTGTGATCTGAAAATGCCCTCACGGATTTCCTGCTCCTCTATTGCTTCTGCAAAGTGTGTACGCGCCAAACGATCACGCGCCTCTTCTGGTAGTTCTGGGTATGCTAATTCAGACAATTCTCGAACAGCCTGACCCAACTCCTGAAGAGTCTCCTGAGGTCCTTGCCGCCTTGAACGTAATTCAAGGAGGTAGTTTTCAGCCATCTGCCCTGGGCCGAACCTTTTCTCGAGCAAATGAACGAGCTCCTGGTACGTTATCCTCGAGAGTTGCCTCTGGCTCCCCATGACTTTGATCGCTGCTCCCCTAAGGCTAGCGGCAAGGAAAATCTTGGCCTCCTCGTCGTTCCAACCATTCGCCAACTTGCATGCCCTAAAATGCTGGATGTAGTCGATCCATGGATTCTTCCCATCGAACTTGTCTGGCACAATGCTGGGTCGGGAAATGCGCGACATTCCTGTTTTTTCTTCATCAGAAAACCCAGGACTCAATTCCTGTCTTGTCATCCTTGGTTCCTGTGACATGCCTCCTTCTCTCGCATGCTCCCTATCCCACTCTTTTTCCTCTTGGTCGGCCCTTGTAGTTGATCCTCTGAGGTTGTACTCACTTGTTTCACTGTGCAAGTGTTGCCTTGATGTTAATGTGCCTTGTGGTTGTACCTCTCTGTACAGCCTGCTGGGAAACTCAGCCTTATCCATTTCTCCCGTCTTCTCAACTGTTGTGGCAGGCAGTTCATAACTCATTGGAGATCGTACTTCGAACTTGTTGGGATTTCCCCAGTCACGAAGCTGCACTTCTTCATCCCTCCGTCCGTGTGCTGCAGTAGCTGAATCCAGTTTCAACTGAAGGAGGCGATTTTGCTCCATCAACAGCCTGTTCTGTCCTTTGGAGTGTTCTAGGTACTCGTTACTCTCTTGCAGTTCAGCCACCAGGTTTTCTAGCTCCTCCACCGAATGCAGGCTAGTTGCCATACTGCCACACGGTGATCCAACAACTTCAAACTGTGTGCTGTGTAGCTGGGCAAGTGTGCTGTGTGTAGGCGCTATTTAGGTGATAACACGAAGAGCATTATAGGCGCTATACATAGGATGTGGAGAATAGGCACTTATATATGTAGGTGAACTAGTAGGTTCAGGTAAACTATAGTAAGTGTAGGCGTAGGTGAACTATAGTAGGTGTAGGTGTAGGTGAACTAGTAGGTTCAGGTAAACTATAGTAAGTGTAGGCGTAGGTGAACTAGTAGGTGAAGGCGTAGGTGAACTATAGTAGGTGTAGGTGAACTATAGTAGGTGTAGGTGAACTATAGTAGGTGTAGGTGTAGGTGAACTAGTAGTAGGTGAAGGCGTAGGTGTAGGCGAACTAGCATTCCCGATAATCACTTGATGTTGCTTAATTCCTGCTTCAGCATGTTTATCCCACCGCGGCCACCAATGTAACGGGTTTTGTCCGGGGTCCCTGCACCATTTACCGAGCGGTCAATAAATCTCACGAGACTCCAATCACCCGCACGGTTCTTTCATAAACAGTGAAGCTATCACTCCAACATCATCGATCGCACTCAGATCACGCTACTTTTCTATAATACACGGAAACACAGTGTCATTTTACATCAAAAGGTACTTGCCTTTATTCACGAAGAACTCCAACTTTACAATGTAACTTCCCTTCAACAGCTAGTAGCAGTACTCCGATTCACCCTGTTTCACCTATCTTATCCTGCCCTCCCTAGCTACCTGCCCGAACACGTCCTCTCTTGCTCATGCCTAATACCTAACTGCCCACCCGCATGCACTGACCCACATGCGCCCGCTACGTTGAAACAACTCCGTTACAATATCTAGGGTGAATGCATGATTGAAAATATTCTAAAAGGAAAATATAAATTTTTCAAATTTTTTTTGGACAAGGCAAATGGGAGGGGAGCTTGCAAGATTCCTCATAGATTTTTCAAATTTGTGATTGCTTGCTTGCTCGATCGCACTTCAAAAACTCATTACTTTCTTATTTTAATCTGTTTTTGCTCAAAAATTCAGTGACCTGTTTCTCTAATTTTTCTGCACATTAAAACCAATTTAATAACAGCGTGAATTTTCCCTTTAAACTTCAGAAGTCACATATTTGGCATGAATGTGACACATTCACCATCTTTATTACATCTTTTATCCTGCAGAACGTTATTATCAGAGCTTGAAACGCTGAAAACTCTGCGATCAGAAGATGTGAAGAGGGCAGCAGAGTTAGCAGCATCGTCTGGTGATGAGAGGACATCAGGGAGGTCGCCAGGGAGAGATGCAGAGCTGGTAGCCGAGGCCAAGTTACTACGGCAACACAAAGGAAGGCTGGAAGCAAGGATGCAAATATTGGAGGACCATAATAGACAGCTTGAAGCTCAGCTCCAAAGGTTGAGACAATTATTAGAACAGGTATGGATGGATAGAGGAATAGGTTGACGGATCAATAAATTGAAGGATAAGTTGATAGCTAGATAAAGGTATAGATGGATAGGTTGGTATATTGATTGGACAATGATAGACAGCCATTGCAGCTCACCTTCAAAGGTAGAGACATTTGCTATATCAAGTCAGAGATATTGTAAGATAGAATAACATTATGGATGGATAGAGGGGTATATTTATATGATATTGACTGGCCTTGTGGGAGATACCACATATATTTCCCAAACTAGACTCATATTGCCCCAAGTCAGAGATGAGGGCAATATGGGTCTTGTGAGGGCAATATATGTGGTATCTCCCGAAAGTTAAAAGCCAGTCAATATTTTTAATGTTATCCAAATCAGACATCTAGAGCAAATACATAAATCAACCATGACAATCTCAAAGAACAGAACACACTTTGTCAAACCAGCACTGTACATCCAGTGCTTGACAAAAATTTTGATCCACTGCAAACAGTGTGCCTTCGGTGTGATCATAACATCACAACAGAGTGTGTGCAAAATGCGCAGGTTTTTGTACACATTATAGATGTGCAATGACAATGACAAAATACGGCGCGGTGAATATGAGACTATATTTACTGTTTTTTTAACACGTAAAGTCCATAAGCTTTTTCATGAGAGGGTAATATGGTCTTATATTTACTGATTAGCTCTTTTAGGATTACAACAAGTGTAATATGATTTTGTAAAACTACGGCTCAGATGTCTGATACGGGTAATAATAATTTATAGATATATAGATTGTATAAGTGATGGATTGATTGGACCAAAATAGACAACTTGAAGCTCACTTTACACAGAGGTTGAAATAGTCACTAGCAACAGGTATGAGATGGAACTGATTCTTCTAAACCTTGTACTCGGAGTAGTAAATCATTATCTGATATGAAAAGTCTTTGATTATTTTCAACATTCTAATTGATGTTGCGATCTAGAGCTAACAGTTGTGTGAGGAGGAGAGTTTGGAAGGGGGAGGAGGGAGAAGTGAGAGTTTTGGTAGAGTCAGAGAGTGAACAATTTTGAAGGAAAGGAAAGAGATACAATTTTCAAATGTTTTGAGGAGTCTATATCACTCACCATCAGTTTTTAAAGATCTTGCACTCATTCCTCCATTCCACAGCCACAAGATAAGAGTGCATCCCAAGTATCCTCCTCCAAGACCACCCCAGCAGTCTCTCCAACATCTTCCATTAGCTCTGCCTCCAAAGCAAAGAGAATACAGCAATCCATTGCCATAGAAACAAGAACAAATGGAGGTACCAGTGACTACGATAGTGATATGGCAGGTGAGACAGAAAATGCACTTAAGGGCCCAAATTCACAAAGGAGGTTTGTCGACAAACCGAGGTTTATGTACGTCATATGATGCGTTTTGACGCATTTTTTTACAAACCTGGTTTGTAAAAACGCGTCAAAACGTGTCACATGACGCACGAAAACCAAGGTTTGTCGACAAACCTCCTTTAAAAATCGGGCCAAGGTGTTTATTAATGATAAATAATAATGTAATGATGTAGAATTGGAAAAGAATGATTAATATATATGTGGAACTATGTATTCACATCCATCATATGATGTTTTCATAGATCTTCGATATTGGACTAAATACTTGTAACTCATAAAAGAAGGCATACTGGGAAGAACAAAAATCACCAGAAAGTATATAAAAATTATTTTTCACAAAGATTCTATGCCAGGCTTATTCTGATTTCCTTTTGAGCTTCCATATCGTAATTAATTATGCCTCCGCAACCGAAGGTGGTGTCGGAAGCATTATGTTTCGGTTCTTTGTCTGTCTGTCCCATTTTCTCACTTGAGATATGAACTTCAAACTTGGTGATAATATTTCACCATAAAAAGACATTCTGATTAGATGTTGGGTTAGGTAAAAGATCAAAGGGCAACCTCTGAAATTCTGGCTTGTAATCCCGATATCTCAAAAACCACTAGAGATATGAGGCTCAATTTTGATGGTGTGAATTTCAAAATCTGATCTGATCTGATCATTTTTGTATCGCCATCGGAAAATGATTTGATCAGATTTTGGGTGAATGGGTCGAAGGTCACATAGATCAATTTCTCAAATTACAAGTTTTAGCCTTGCTATTGCAATATCTCAAGAACCACCAGAGATACAGGGGTTCAAACTTGGTGATAGCCTGTATCACCATGGGGAGGCATTCTGATTAGATTTGAGATAAGTAGGTGAAAGGCCAAAAGTCATAGAGGTCAATTTTTATGCCTCCGTTAAGAAGTATCCGGAGGCATTATGTTTTCGGGTTGTCCGTCCGTACTTCCATATGTCCCGTTCTCATGATCGCGTTATCTCAAGAACCGACTGATGGATTCCTGCCAAACTTTGGTCATGTATGTAACTTGCAGAGCCTATGAATTGATTAGATTTTGGGGTCATGAGGTCAAAGGTCACATGGCTCATTATGTATGCAAAACTAGCTTGTGATCACGTTATCTCAAGAATTGATTGATGGATTCCTGCCCTACTTAGGTCATGTGTGTATCTTGCAGAGGCAATTATTTGATTAGATTTTGGGGTCACAAGGTCATAGGTCAAAGGGCACAGGGCTCATGTATGCACAAAAAACTTATGATCACATTATCATTAGAACAGATGGATGGATTACCATCAAACTCAAGATATGTATGTTTCTTGCAGAGCCAATGAACGGAGTAGATGTTTGGGTCATGAGGTTAAAGATCAAAGGGTCATACATGTATATGAGATATGTGTATATTCTGAGAACCTGTTAATGGATTACAATCAAACTTGAATTTGAAAAATTGCTTCTGTTTTGGTTTCTAAAATTGCTCTATTACGGAGGCATAATTTTCCACTGCACGCAGTCGAAGTTCCATCTAGTTACTCATGTTGAACACCACATTTGACTGAGGATTTCTCAACATAGCAACAACTATATCTCTTTAGTTCAACTTAATAGACAATATTCTGAATAGTGTGTAACGGTATTGGATGTACATGTAAGTTATAATCATTTTCAATATGTTGTTACACTCTTTGTAAGATGAGATATTGTGGAAACCAATAAACTATATATCTATCTATCTATCTAATCTTGTGCCTCCTAACCATTGAATAATAAACAGACAGATGCATCATTATTTATCACCAGACAGTTCAAGAAAAATTGTTGATAAATATGACTACATTTGTGAACAGGTCATATTAGCAGTAAACATGAAATACATGCTTTTATCTAAGAAATTTTTACACCATATGAAGAACATTGAGACAGTTGAGCATATTATTTCTTTGTGATATTGATATCCCAGGTGAAGAGCATAACAACCATCCGTCTCCCCACACCCCACCCCACCTGAAAGATGACCACCACCACCACCATCATCTCCACCAGGGGGGCGGGGCAGCTAACGGTGTACAAGCCAAGGGAAAGGTCGACCTAGACAAGGTTATTCAAGAACTCAACAACTTTCCTGACGGAGCCAAGAATGGAAATGGTTAGAAAGGATTATATTCTCCAAACTAAATTTGTCAAATTTGTCATAAAATCATGTTGAAAAGCATGTACATACAAGGACATCAGCTTTTGAAAGATTGTTCGAAAAGTTTGTTAATAATTCAGCAAACGTCTTGTTACATCTCATAGGATAATAACCATATAAAATATAAAGATATAGATATAGATATATGGAACGAGGCATGTAGTTTTGTTCTAGAGTTTATATAAATTGTATTAATGGAACAATGATTCCTCAAAAAGGATAGTGCCCAAATGTAATCTGAATTTATTCAAATAAGCGGTATACCAGTATTCAAATCTGTCTCCAGGCCAGTCTTGGAAAAATATCGAAATTGATCGCTATAAACAGGTTGCCATGTTAGACATTTTTTTTTTAATATACATTGTTTTTTCGCCGAGAAAGACATCATAGATGACTGGTACTGACATGCGGCATTTATGAAGAGGTGGCCACTGTGTTCTCAAACATGGGAGGATAGCTCATACATTTACTCTCTAATTCTCTCTCTCTCTCTTTCTCTCTCAATCCCTCGTCAGTTGGTCAGAACAGTGTGGGTAGTCTTCTTCACATGGCAGATAACATTGGCAAGGCGGTCGGTACCCTCGTCACCGTTATGACCGATGAGGAACAGAGCGACAAGGACGGCGAAGCATAGCCAATCACAAGCCTCCGTGCATTCAAATCATAACAAATTCAGCCAATGAGGGGTCTTCCATGATGAACATTTATTTGCATAATCCTTCTATAGAGACATTATAACGTGCATTGCCAGAGAGAGAGAGAAATGTGTATTTTTCACTCTCTCTCTCTACTAGTGTTGCCAATTTTGATGAGTCTGTACAAAGCGTACAGATTTTTTTCATCAGTATTCCATTATTCTTCATGATTATGTGGATATGTATCCAAACTTTTTTGTGTATGTGTTTAAATCACAAGAACACCTCGACTTGAGTCTGAAGATTTTGCTAGGCTGTTGATTGTAGTTTATTATTTTATTGCAACATTTAACAAAACGATGCTGTTATTTATAGATAAAATTATACTAAGAGTCTTGATGAATTATTGGTAGAGTTATAAACTAAGTTTCCCAGCTCTTGGTTGAATCTATGCATGCTGCAGATTTTGTATTTTGTGTTTCGTCATGCTTGGTCGGTTGTGTTACGTTCAAGATAATCTGTTTGATTTGTTGAGTCTCTGTTATTTTGAGGTAGTTACTTGTAGACGGTTTGTAGGACCAAATATAACGAAACATTGCAGGGAATCTGGGACTCAATTTGAAATGCTTTTGTGTAGGAGTTAAGCTGGTGCTATCATTAAGTAATTGATAATCTGTGTGCATTAAAACAAAGTGAGTCATTGTGTTGCTACACACATGCTTTTACCTTTTGGTAATTAGATACAGAAGCTTCTAGAAAAGTTCTAAACCTTGTTATTAGCATCAATAATTATGAAAAGCAAAAACTGGATGTAAAGATTGCTTGAGAGAAACAAGAAATTGTGGACTGTGTGCAAGGAGGCAGCTACTGCCATTGACTGACAATACAAAGCTCTTAATGCTTCCTTACTGGCATCCTACCGGCGGGCAGCCAGCGGACTCAATAAGTCAGGTGGTCGCTAAACCAAGTTTCACTCTACCATTTATTTAAAACGACTTTGGAATTATGCTAACCAAAGTATTGAAGCTATTTGTACTGTTGTTTCATTTCATTATTAAGTTGTGGAATGATTTTCTGAAGGGACTGTATTGTGGGAAAATTAATAAGAGCGGTGATAATGATTTTTCTCCAAAAGACTGGCACTTGTAAAGTTACAATCCATGAATTTCATGGATTCCAATAGTGAAAACACTGCAGAAATGCTTGTGGGTATTATTACAAAATGCTTCCTACTGCTTTAGTTTGTCTCTAAGTTCTCTTGTTTAACTATGTTCTTGTCTTCATCTGTAGATTATACATCATGATATTATATTATTCAGGATTATTTGATATCTTCCTTTATCCTAGGTTTGTATTATATTTCATTTTTTCTTTTTTGTTGCTGATTGTGGTTTTTATGATTTTATGCCTTTATTATCTGCTCTAAAATCAATCAAATCCAGTCAAATCAATTTTTTCTATTAAGAAAAATGTAAAAAAAAAATATTTTGCTTTATTTTTGATGATTTCTTTCCATGGTGATTTACAGGTATATTGTAATCAAATTGACAACTTTATTGATTAATCATGAAATAAAGCTATTTGATTTTTATGAGATAACATTTCTTTAAAGGCAAATTTGCTTTTCCTACTTCACAAATGTATCTGCTCTGTCGAGGGAAAGAGCATGTCTTCATATTATTTTGCATGCACAAGATGTGCAAGACTAGATAGAAAAAAGTCATAAAATTTCAGCACAAGATTCTTTGGCGTTAAAAAATTATCCCGGCCTCCCCCCCTCGGGCTAGATAGGGTTAATGGGAAATGGTCTAAATTCTAGCGATTTCAGACTACTCAGTTTCCAGTGGTATTTAGGGTATGTGTGCTGATTTTTTGACTGTCTGTGTAATCCCAAAATGTGTGCTTTTTGACAGATAAGAAACTGTTCTATTTTCATCAACATTATTTCTTTCTTTTTAAACTGTTCCTAACTTCATTCATGATCTGTGAAAAGATTCTTGTTTTGTTAAAATTAACTACCTTTCCACTTCGCCTGAAATGATACAAAGTATTGTTGACTTAAAACCTACATTGAGCATAAAAGTACCTTCAAGTGTTACTTAAATCATTTGATCTGGTTATCAATCCAATTATTTTCCTGAAATTTCCTCTTTTTGTAACGACTTTCAGTTATTAGACATATTTAGAAGTGCAGTGAAAACATTCATTGTTTGGTAATCATTAGGGTGAAAAGACAACATACTTTTAATACAGTTTGGATAGTCTTTTTGAGTTTCAGATTATTGATTCCAGTATTGAAAGGATTTCATGATTTTATTGTTTTGGCACCTGTCATTTAAAGTGCACTTCCAATTGCTACTTAATTAAGGTTTAGGTCATGTAAGAGATATATTACAACTAACACTGCTCTGTACAACAATACATATGAAATCATGCAGTATTTTGAAATGCAAGAAAATCTGGTGACCATATACAGAAATTTAACCGTGTAAAGAAAAAATGGTTGTGATTGTGCTTATAAGGTTCACTTAGGTGTAAATTTTGTAATGAACTAATACGGATGTATTCATTTTTTTCTTTTATTCAGTGATCTGATATAAGATTCAAAAATTGTGTATTGAGGTGCCAAAATTAATGTTTAGGGTATACAATGAATCTTAATAAATGGAATAATAAATGACATATTAGATAGAAGTCCAATCAATATTTCCTTGGCAATTTGGCGGAGGGTTTTATGTGTTGGGTTGTGCTGCCATCGTTTTGGTTTCCACTTTTCATTCATTGATGAATGGGTAATTAGTTTTTAGCGAGGGTAGTAAATGATGAGTTATTAATGAATATCAAATCCGATTGTTATGACTTATTTTCTACAAATATTGGTATGTAATATGCTTAAAGATGTTGCTTTGATAAAAAAATGCCATATCTTTAAAAACTGTCTTTATTCAACTTGATTTTTTTCTTCTCACTTTCAATGAATCAACATTGCTTAAAAATGATTAAAAGTGCTTGATTTCATTGTAAATAGTCATTGATTACTTACTAGTGATTACGAGAATGCTTGTGACAAATCATGAAAACCATAAGTATTTATCATTTTTTATTTATCGTGAAGTCACATTTTGTACTAGATTTCATCATTTTGTGCGATGTAGAAGCGTAACTTCTTGTGGTATGATTAATTTATCTCAATCACCTTCGTTTGTACTCGTGTTTCTAATCCATTCTGATTTCGAAATCAATTGAAGGTATGAATGAACAAAGATAGAGATATTAAATGACAGGATGAAATGTTTTATGGAGCATTTATCGTATTATAGTAAGGACTAAATCATGAATTGGCTGTGTAAATTACATCCTTTCGTATATTTTGCAACCCCATTTTTATATAAATACCAAGATATTCACGGTTTGAATTCTCTTTTATGTGAGTGTGTTATGGTATGTATTTCAGTGGTGGATGTAGTTTTCACTGTATTTTATCTTCACCATTGCTCGAATTACTATTTTTCATTGTATCAAGTCATTGTGGTCGTACATGATTATACTATTAAATTAATCATTATGCAATACCAAAAGTACTAGATTCTTTGTATTTCTTTCTCTTTTGCCTATTTCTGAGGATACATTCATGTGTTGTAACAATATAATGAGCAGTACAGTCATTTACCATACTTCTCTATTTTGCATTCTCTAATCAGTTTTCCTGTCACTTTTTCTCCCTTTCACTCCCTATACTGCCCTCTCAAAACAATTCAATTGACTTCAAACTATTTATGAAAAAAATCCTTCATATAGAGACAAACTTCAGCAGTTATTGACAATTTATAAAGATTATACATGATAAAGGAACACAATTAAAAATGACATGCCTTTGAGTATTAGGCATAATCGGAGAATAGAAACCATGAGATCAATTAGGAGACGATACCATTCTAATTGTGAAGATATTTGCCATTTGGTTGAAAACTAACAAAAATGCCACAAAAGGCTCCTATACGTGCTTTTTGACAGTTCTAAACATGGTTTCACTATTTTCACACAACCAAGAATTGGAGATATGAACCATTTACCTGAACTTGCAGAGCAGGACGTGCCTTACATCATGATATCAATTAGGAGACGATATCATATTTGCCAGTTGACAAAAACGCCTCAAATAGGGCTACATGTATACGGTATACGCAATTTGACAGTACCAAACATGGTTTTGCCATCTTCACACAAAGCGAGAATAGAAGACATGAACCAATTACATGACCGTGAAGAGCAGGATGTACCTGACATCATGATATCAGTTAGGAGACAAAACCATTCTTTATAGGGAAGATATTTACCATTTGGATGAAAAACTAACAAAAATGCCACAAAAGGCTCCTATATAAGCTATTCGACAGTTCTGAACATGGTTTTGCCATTTTTACACAAACCAAGAAGGGGAGACATAAACAATTTACATGAATTTGTAGAGCAGAACGTGCCTTACATCATGATATCAATTGGGAGACGATACCATCCTTTATAGGGAAGATATTTGCAATTTGGATGAAAAACTAACAAAAATGCCACAAAAGGCTCCCATAAGCTATTTGACAGTTTTATTCATTTTTTTTTTTTTTTTTGTAAAATGAATTGATTGATAAATATATGTTTTTGAACAAATCAAACAATCATACACAATCAATTGAAATAACATCGTAGCATCTTAACATAGTTCAAATGAAACATGTTTCGTTTTCTTGAATAACAGTGTTTTCAAAAATGCATAGCTTTTTTGTTTTACAATACTTTTTCGATCTTTAATCGGTTATGGATTAATCTTTTGAAAATCCAAAGAATAGTGTGACGGAATGTTACAGTGTTTAACCTGAAGAGGGCGACATTTTGGTCAGATTGATATAAGTGATTTGATAACGCTGCGAACGGGCAGTCCGTGTTTTGTATTGATGCAGTAAGGAATGCAGTAAAGTAAGCTGAAAGATCAAACATCATTGTAAGTTGTCGTTATTTGTCTCGGATATTACTTTGATTGAAGTGATTGATGAATGCATGATTGAGATCCTCGTTGAATAGTTGTGAGTTGTGAGAGTCGACTGTCTGGGAGAGTTGACTGATTTATAAGACGAGACCTGGTTCGTGTCGTTCGGAATTGCTACCAAGTTCATGGAACCAGATCTCGTCACACTGGTGGCAGCGGCGGGACAACTAAAACAGCGTGGGTCATGCTTCCAGCGTGAAACTACATACTAAGACACGGACTCAAAACACGCCACCTTTTTAGGTGCTAACGTGAGCTGCGAACTATCGAGAAGTGCAGCCAGGTGAGGTGCCAAGTTGAGGTGCCAAGTTGAGGTGCAAGTTGAGGTGCCAAGTTGAGGTGCCAGGTGAGGTGCCAAGTTGAGGTGCCAAGTTGAGGTGCAAGGTGAGGTGCCAAGTTGAGGTGCCAAGTTGAGGTGCCAAGTTGAGGTGCCAGGTGAGGTGCCAAGTTGAGGTGCCAGGTGAGGTGCCAAGTTGAGGTGCCAAGTTGAGGTGTCAGTTGAGGTGCCAATTGAGGTTCTACTTGAGGTGGAAGTTCTTTGTGCTACAGCTCTTAATAAATTCACCATGGATAAAAAGGAGCATCAAAGGTCCTCAGTTAATGAATGTGACCTAACTCAATTGAACACAGAGCTGGAACGTCTACGAATGGAGAATCAAATTTTACAGTTGGAACGTGACAATGCACGGTCAAAAATTAATCTGATAGAAGCAAGACAACAGGGATTGTCTTCACAAAGTACCGTCAAGCTTGGACAGTTCGAAGAACCATCTGTGAGAAGGAGAGTAGATACGGACATAGTTTTCAATGGACCGTACACTGAGAGAAACAAGGGTGAAAACACGCCCGAATGTGGAGAGAAGAAGGGCTTGTATCCTGAGCTATTGACCCCAGACCGGAAGGTTGGAACCGATTGTTCGACTCCTGTGCCGGATACCATGTTTTCTCAAGAGTTGGCTGGGGACATTGGGTCCCCTTTCCTTGAAGGATTCGATCCCAATTTTCCATGGGAAAAGGCCAGTGGAAGAACGAAATCGGCTCTTACGAAGAAGCCTGACAACAAGCAGGGTGATGTGGAAATAAAAGAAGAAGTTTCTAGAGATTGTTCAATAGGAACAAAACAGAGCCAAAGGCCTTGCATAACACCTGATCGGTTCAATGGACAAACATCGTGGCATCAGTACTTGAAACACTTTGAAGCATGCAAAGATATAAATGGTTGGACAGAGGAGCAGGCAAGTGCTTTTCTGACTGTAAGCCTTCAAGGTGAAGCACTCCGTCTGTTGGACCATCAGCACGATCGCAAACTTACGTATAGGGGACTGACCAAGCTCCTAGAGCAGCGATTTGGCCCAAGTCAACAGGCAGAAAATTTTCTGTTTGAATTGCGTCATCGCCGTCAAGGCCAAACAGAAACACTGAAGGAACTTGGCCAAGTCATATGTGAATTGGCAATCAAAGCCTACCCAGACATTCCAGAGGTTGGGAGAAAAAGGCTCGAGAAGAACCATTTTATTGAGGCAATAGAAGACCGGACTATCCGAGAAGGAGTGCACAGAGCTAGGCCAAAGGACATTGACGAAGCTATTCGTGCGGCCATAGAGACAGAGAACTATGAAAGAATCGAAGAAGAACGAAGATCGGAGAGACGTCCGCACAAATTGGTGAGGGGTTCAGAAAAGGAATCTGAGCAACTCATCCAGAAATTGGAGCATTTGTGTGAAAGGCAGGCAACACAATTCGAGACAATGACAAGGCTCATGAATGAAAGATTTCTTTCTTCTGAGAGAGTTCCCAAACCACCAACTCCTGGAAATTCCGGCAAGAAATGGCGGAGAAAAGAAGATTTGATATGCTTCAACTGCAACGAAAATGGACATTTCGCAAGGGAATGTCCTCTTCCTGAAAAGGAGAGGTCGGGAAACGACGAACAGCTGACCGGAAGGTCCACGGGAAGGCTGTAAGAAGTAACGGACCTAGTCGACTTGATGATGGAAGGATTGTAACACTTACACCTAACGAAGAACCCAAGCAAGGCTTATTTGTAGAGGGTACCATCAGGTCTATAAAATGTAGATTCCTCATCGATACAGGTTCAACTGACACAATTGTTAGAACTGACATGTACTACAGTATTGCGAAAGAGCAGAGACCGGTTCTTGAACAAGACAACGTCAGGGTTCAGCAGGTAGATGGAACGCCACTTGATGTGCTAGGAGTTGCCTGGACAGAAGTCAAAGTTGGAAAGACAATCTTTCCATTAAAGGTCATCTTTGCTAATATTAGGAACCAGGTAATACTTGGAATGGACTTTTTGATTCCAACCGCTGGGGTTCTAGACTTCTTCCGGCTGGAACTCATCTTGAACGGGGAACACATTCGATGCCTTAACCAGATAGGGAGATCATTCCTAAGAAGGATTTTAGTGAAAGAAACTATTGAGGTGCAACCAGGTCAAGAAACGCTCGCGCAAGGTGAGATCGCCAACTGTGTGGACGAGATGACGGGTACTGCCATAATCGAACCAGTTGCAGGCGGAGGCGAATTGGCTCGCCATGGGCTGGTGTTGGCAAGGTCCCTTGTCACTGCAGAGGCAGATGTTTTGCCACTGAGGTTGTTTAACCCGGGGAACAACAAGATAACACTTCGCCGGGGAACAATGGTCGGGATGATCTCACCAGCGGAAGTGCATGAAAGTGGGGAAAGGACAGAGAATAGTGGAAACGATGGAGTTCCTTCATACCTACAAGACTTGTTGCAACGAAGCCTGAGCAACATCGATCCGAAATATCACCAAGCTATCAAACAGTGCCTCGTGGATTTTCAAGATGTATTTTCTTCTGGAAGTCACGATTTGGGCCGGACCAATGCTGTCAGACACCACATCGAAACCGGCAATTCAAGACCTATAAGACAACGCCTTCGACGTCACCCTATCGTCAATCAGCAAGAGATTGATCGCCAAGTCAAATCATTAGTGCAAGAAGGTCTCATCGAACCTTCCGATAGCCCCTGGGCAGCCAATGTAGTGCTTGTGACTAAGAAGGACGGTACAAAACGGTTGTGTGTAGATTACCGCGGCCTGAATGTAGCAACTGTAAAAGACGCCTACCCTGTCCCCCGAATAGATGAGACCTTGGATGCACTAGGCGGGGCCAAGTGGTTTTCAACCTTAGATCTAGCTGCAGGCTATTGGCAAGTTGCCCTTGATAATGAAGCTCAAGACAAATCATCTTTTGTGGTTCGCGGTGGCCTATACAAGTGGAAGGTAATGCCATTTGGGCTGTGTAATGCCCCCGCAACTTTCGAGAGGTTGATGGAGAAAGTGATGGCTGGTCTACAATGGGACATATTGCTCATCTATTTGGATGATGTAATAGTGTTCGGTCGGACAGTTGATGAGCAAATCGTACGACTTCGCACAACATTGGCGCGGCTCCGGGAAGCCAATTTGAAATTGAAACCATCCAAGTGCAATTTGTTTCAACAGTCGGTGAAATACCTAGGTCACATCGTGTCTTCAGAAGGAATCACAACCGA